AAATATGCAAAAACCATGGCACGACGGAAGCACGACGTCCCTAAGTGAACATTTGAGACGAAAACGTGGGGGCTGATGCAGCAGAGGAATGTCCGGTAAGTAACAGAAAATAAACAAGCTAACGCAGATCACATTTGGGACTTAGTGTTAGCTGAGTTCGTTATAGTGGATGTTAAACATGTTTTTTTTTTTGCCGCGTCAGTTTACGGTGTTCTACTTCTGATTGACTAGATGCAATCGTGAATCTCCTCCGTGTTGTGAATCATGCGCTTGCCAAATTTAGCACGTCTGTTTATAAGAATGTTCTCGTTAAGAGAAAAACGGCACAAACCCATAACTGTGTTCCTCATTCAAAAAAGGACAACTCCGCGGAGAAAAATATACAGACGAGCTGTGTCCAGGTGAATATAACGCGGCATAGTTGTACGCTTTCAATTTTTAAATACAGGAGAAATTCAGAAAGTCCTTTTTTTAACTATTAAAAGGCTGTTTTACTATCTAACGCTGTAAAACGCCTCACAACACATTTTTGTCAAAATGATCACTGTATATTGTTAATTAATTCAAATAATGTAATATTGATTTAGTGTTGTAGTGTGTGTGCTGCTTTATTTTATATGTGTACTTAATTCAGTTTATTTTTGTTTCTTATGCAGAAAAAAACAAGCAACGATGGACAACTACATGGGGAACAAGACACTCACCCCCAGCAATGCATACCACTTACAAACTCTATTCCAGATTCTACATTATTTTTTATGGAATTTACCTCTTATATTTTGATGCCAAAAAATTATTCTGGACTGATATTTTGCACTGTTTAGCTCATTTTACACTGCTGACTGTGGTCATGTGCAATAAAATAGATTGCAGTCAACTGCACAATTCTCTTATGTTTTTCTTTTTCTTAACCGAAATGTATTCATCACTTGTATAGCTTAAATAGCTAAACAATAACAAACCGATTAATCGATTAATCGAAAAAATAATCGTCAGATTAATCGATTATGAAAATAATCGTTAGTTGCAGCCCTAAACAGGTCATTTAATTTAAAACACCTGTGTGGCTGAATATAGCAAAGTATCATGGGAAATGTAGTCTCAGACAATGAAAAACATTCCACTGAATATTAAAAACACTCTAAATCAGCTCAGGAAGTGAGCGATGGTTTTCCTAAAAGCAAATTCTTTAGATTGAGGCGACTTTGCCAGTTGGATGAAGACTATGTAGAGAAGAGTTGGGAAATGAAGCAACGCTTTCAAGACAGGCTACTCTAATCAGTGTATTGAGGAAGCATATGTCTGCACTATCCAAACCCAGATCTGAACTTTTGGAAAAAAAGTACTAACAAAGAAAAACACCACTCTGAACACCTTTACTCCCCATGCATATACAAATAAACAAACAACTCTAAAACATTGGCACATTTTGGCTGGAGATCCAGCACTGAAAGGGGCTTTTCAACATCCACCCCTTTTTGTCTACAAAAGGGGTCCCAATCCACAGGACAAAGTAGTGAAAGCAAATATTTTGCCACCTCCAAAACAGTAAACTCTCGCTCCTCGGCAGCAAGAAAACTATCCCTGTGGAAACTGTGCTCAGTGCCACAATACTGTTAAAACATCTGAGTTTCGGCATCCGAGAACAGGAAAAAGATTTTTGATTAAGGGCATAATTACTTGCAATTCAAAGAATGTTATTTTTTGTTAAAATGCCCCTGCAACAAAATCTATATTGGAAAAACAACAAGGCCGCTCAAACAGAGGATCAGTGAACACAAGGGTTCAATTAGGAGAAAAGACTTGACCTATCCAGTAGCACGCCATTTCAATGACTTATCACACCCAGTGTCTCCAGGGGATTGAACATATTTCACTACATAGAGGAGGTGATATAGATAAAAAAAACTCTGCCAAAGGGAACTGTTCTGGATTTACACGTTGAAAACACTTCAACCACTAGGTTTAAATGAGGACTTAAGATGTCTGTGTTTCTTTAAAGATAGCATACACTGCTGTGTTTTTATACTTCTCTGCCTTGCTGTATGATAGGTTTTTTAGCTTGATGTTTTGCAATGTACAAATCTCTCAGTTCCTGAGCTGATTTAGAATGTTTTTAATATTAAGTGGTAGGGCTGCAACTAACGATTATTTTCATAATCGATTAATCCGTCGATTGTTTTTTCGATTATTCGGTTTGTTATTGTTTAGCTATTTAACCTAAACAAGTGATGAATACATTTCAGTTAAGAAAAAGAAAAACATAAGAGAATTGTGCAGTTGACTGCAATCTATTTTACTGCACATGAACACAGTCAGCGGTGTAAAATGAGCTAAACAGTGCAAAATATCAGTCCAGAATAATTTTTTGGCATCAAAATATAAGAGGCAAATTCCATAAAAAATAATGCAGAATCTAGAATAGAGTTTGTAAGTGGTATGCATTGCTGGGGGGTGAGTGTCTTGTTCCCCATGTAGTTGTCCATCGTTGCTTGTTTTTTTCTGCATAAGAAACACAAATAGACTGAAATAAGTACACATAAAATAAAGCAGCACACACACTACAACACTAAATCAATATTACATTATTTGAATTAATTAACAATATACAGTGATCATTTATTTTGATAAAAATGCGTTGTGAGGCGTTTTACAGTGTTGGATAGTAAAACAGCCTTTTAATAGTAAAAAAAGGACTTTCTGAATTTCTCCTGTATTTAAAAATTGAAAGCGTACAACTATGCTGCGTTATATTCACCTGGACACAGCTTGTCTGTATATTTTTCTCCGCTGAGTTGTCCTTTTTTGAATGAGGAACATAGTTATGGGTTTGTGCCGTTTTTCTCTTAACGAGAACATTCTTATAAACAGACGTGCTAAATTTGGCAAGCGCATGATACACAACACGGAGGAGATTCACAATTGCATCTAGTCAATCAGAAGTAGAACGCCGTAGACTGACGCGGCAAAAAACATGTTTAACATCCACTATAATGAACTCAGCTCCCAAATTTGATCTGCTTTAGCTTGTTTATTTTCTGTTACTTACCGGATTCACCGGACTTTCCTCTGCTGCATCAGCCCCCACATGTTTTCGTCTCAGACGTCGTGCTTCCGTCGTGCCATGGTTTTTGCATATTTTGCAGGTCACCCGTCTTTTAAAGGCATCTAGAGTGAAGTGCTCCCATACTCGTGAGGTTTTTGTCCGGGGTTTCTCTTGTTTTGTCGCTTCTATTTTTCTTCCGTATTTCTTCTTCCGCCATCTCTCACAGCAAAATGAGCGTCAGTAACGTGATACGTCATGAAAACCGAGGGCAGTTATTGGCTCATTTCTTCTACGGCTCCGCTGGTAGATCAGTGGCTCATTACTGCCACACACTGGCAGCAAATTTAACAGATTGTAACCGATGTCAGATTGTGGTAAAAAATAGACTTTATGCGGTAAAATATGATTATTAAACAACTAATCGATGACTAAAGAAGTTGTTAACTATTTTAATAATCGATTATAATCGATTAAATCGATTAGTTGTTTCAGCTCTAGACCTGTTTAACTAAGGATTGTTTGGTGTGAACCTCCACAATTCCTGATGAAGGTCTCTGACCGAAAGCTTTACCAATGAACTCCTACATCTCAGATTGAAGTGTGCAGATCCACTTTTTGATCTAGCACCTTTCCCAGACGAGCAGTGACTCCTTCTACTCTATTTATTCGGTCATAAAATTGCTCAGGGCACAATCAGAAGAAAAATTATTTATTTGTAAACCATTTTCTTTTCAGTTAATGTAATAATTGTCCCAGCCACAGCGATCGGAGATGCCCTGCACCCCCCAACCCATTCTCACACCAATCAAGGGCAAGCTGCGTGTGTGTTTAACGTGCCGCATACACACATTTTGAAATTTTTGGGAGAAGGGTATCACTATACACCGTTGGTTTTTAGCAGCTCAGGCACCTGCAGGTACGGTGTTTCGCTCAGTCCGGTTAATCCAAGGGGGAGCTGGCTCTGAGAGCCATTTATTCATTCCCTTTCCTAATGTCCTGAAGGAGGGTCCGGAGCGCAAGTTGAGTGTGTTCCTAACCTGCAGGAAATGTCGAGGACATCCAGAAAGTAGCTAAGGGTTACCAGAAATGTTTCTGGGGTGTTCGCTAGGTACTTTTAAGATTTAAAAAGTCAAGAAGGGGGTCCGAAAAGCTGTTGGAAATAATGACAAAGTCGCTAACTTGACAACATTGTAGGAGGAGCACTTGATTTGCAACTCGGAGCAGCGCAGGAGGGAGAAAATATCGGCTCGTTTTGTTTTTATAATGTTCAAAACTCAAATTGTAATTGGGGTTAAAATTTGATTACCTGAGCAGCCCTACTGTTGACTAGGGATGTGTATTGGTGAAGTTCTGGTGATACAATACGTGTCACGATACAGGGGAGATATGATATACTGCGATATATTCAGCCAGACGATATTAACGATTTTTTCAAATTGAATTTATTATAGGAAAATTGAAAAATTGGTTGAATGGCACCAAAAGAAAGAGAATACACAAATGTTTGCATGTAAATGTTTTTAAAAAATTTGATACATGGCTTTTGAATATTGATATAATATCGCAGGAAAATATATCATGATATATTGCCTTATCAATAATTTCTTACATCCCTGCTGTTGACGAAAGCGACATCCTGACCAATCACAAGCTTGCATTCTGTGTCTCGTTAAACAGATATTTAGAAAATTGGGCTCGACTCCTTCTGTCCGATAATGGCGTTGTGCGTCTCCGTACGACGCAGAAGCATGAAATAGGTTTTATAGATAGTGTTTCCCCTATGTAGGCTCAGGCGTGGCGCTGCGCCATGACTTACTGGGGAGACAGAGCACGCACACACATACACACACACACACACAATCACAACATGTATACCAAGTGGTGTTCCTATGGTTACATTGTGATTTCTTAGTAAATATTCTATTTAGTAAGAAAACTTTTGTTTTTATCCTAGTGGGCCGCTGCTGTAAATAAAGTGAGACGCGAACCGGAAAAGCCTCTGCCGATCACATTTCAACAACGGATTATGAAAGAACGGATAACTTTCAAAACACGCAGATTTTTCTTGATGTAAGAGGTGAGTACTCTTTGTTTTGGCGTTGACATCATCATAGCGCACAACGTTCTGTGACTCTTAAAAAAAACTGTGAAAACGCTAAAAAACGCTGGCAGCGAAATGATTTTCTGATCAGGAAATGGCTGGCAGTGAATGAGTTAAAGAGCAGATTGTAGAAGAAAGTAGTCGAGTGTGGAAAGTGGTCAGTGTGTCTTCCAGCAGTCTAAGTCTATAGCAGCATAACTACAGAGATAATTCTAGATAACCTAGCCTTTTAGATGGAGGCATGTTGGAGGCAGGGCAAGGGAGAGTCGTCTTTACCGACTGTACCCTCCCTCTACTCCCCCACTTGTCCAGATCTGGGCTAACATCAGATTTTAACCATAGGCCCTATCAAATAAAAATGTTTTACTCCTAGTCTTAAAGAACATTGCAGCTTAGAGACTCCCATGAACCAATGTTTAGAGAAACATAATAGAAACTAGTTTTAAACATTTTTTTCCACATACATAAATTATTTAGGCTTTTAGAGTCATTTTTGTGGCAAAGATGTTTTTATTTTTTGGCCAAACCAAGTGACATCAGCTAGCTGAGGGAGTCCTGTTAGCTTAATCCAGAGAAAATCTGGACTCTGATGTGGCTCTGACACAGAGAAACCTTTAAATGTTTATAATTCTACTTCTGGTGGACCAGAACCATAAAGTTATGAGTTTGCTGCTCGCCCCAGAGAGCAGAGACAAACCAGAGGGAGAAACCATCGGCCAAAGCAGAGATTAAGGAGAGCAGCCGGGGTGGGGGGGGGGGGGGGGGGGGGGCAGCTTGTGAGTTAAACATGTTGGCTTAAACTCGTGTGCTAACATCACAATATAGTACAGATTACTATCATGTACCAGACAGTTAAAGTAGTATTGGTCAGTTAATATAATATTAATACTAATGAGCATCTGTCAGCTGTCTCATACTCGTTAATATCCGTTCACCTAACCTAGTTTAGATTAGAGAGACGCCTGTCATCCGGTTCTGGAGCTCATGCGGGCTTCTGGGAGCTGGATCCAACCCAGACACCAGCGAGCCAGTCCAGCTGGTATTTTTAAAAGCTGTGCATCCTCTTCTGGTGGTCCAGGCGGTGGTTCTGATCCGGTTCGGTTGGTTCGCTGGAGTTTTTGACAATAAAAATTGCGCCCACATTTTCGAAGTTAAACACATTTCTTTTAACAACGATAGTTTCTGCATCTAATGAGCTCTGGACGTCACGTGACTCAGAAAGTAGACGCCATGTTGGCAGGCAACAAATATAAACAAATTGAACGGGATCGGCTTGGATTTTACTTTGTCGGAGTTTACTTCACACTTTTAAACCAAAGAAATCGTTTTATATAGTCAGAAATTAAATAGACCAAACATCTCCGGCCCTTACTGTGCCCCTGGGATACTTTTTAAAAATGCCAGAAGCTGTCGGAGCGGACTTCTTACCGGACCTGGCCGGGGAACCCCTTGGGATTCCCCCGGAGGAGCTGGCCCAAGTGGCTGGGGAGAGGGAAGTCTGGGCCTCTCGACGCTACTGCCCCCGCAACCCGACTGCAGATAAGCGGATGAAAATGGATGGATGGACAAATAACAGATTTACACGTAAGTAGTTTGAATAGAGTGCTGTGCTGTTTGAAGGGATAAACTGAACGCCAAGAGAAATCACTAGTCTGATTTTTTTCGTCGTCGTCTTCCTCCGCTTATCCGGGTCCGGGTCGCGGGGGCAGCATCCCAACTAGGGAGCTCCAGGCCGTCCTCTCCCCGGCCTTGTCCACCAGCTCCTCCGGCAGGACCCCAAGGCGTTCCCGGACCAGATTGGAGATGTAACTTCTCCAACGTGTCCTGGGTCGACCCGGGGGCCTTCTGCCGGCAGGACATGCCCGAAACACCTCCCCGGGGAGGCGTCCAGGAGGCATCCTGACCAGATGCCCAAACCACCTCAACTGGCTCCTTTCGATCCGGAGGAGCAGCGGTTCTACTCCGAGTCCCTCCCGAATGTCCGAGCTCCTCACCCTATCTCTAAGGCTGAGCCCGGCCACCCTACGGAGGAAACTCATTTCGGCCGCTTGTATCCGCGATCTCGTTCTTTCGGTCATTACCCAAAGCTCATGACCATAGGTGAGGATTGGGACGTAGATCGACCGGTAAATCGAGAGCCTGGCTTTCTGGCTCAGCTCCCTCTTCCCCACGACAGATCGGCTCAGCGTCCGCATCACTGCAGACGCCGAACCAATCCGCCTGTCGATCTCCCGATCCCTCCTACCCTCACTCGTGAACAAGACCCCGAGATACTTAAACTCCTCCACTTGAGGAGGAGAGAAAAATAAATATGTCAGGCAGGAGCGTCTCAAGATCTGTCTGAGATCTGTCTCGGTGAGACGGATAATCGCAATCCAAAGTGCTTTTTATGTGTGATCTGACAATTGATCAACCATTGCTTAAAAATTAAATACAGCTTAGCCGGTTAATTGCTGTGATCATAAAACACGTAAACGGCAGCACGCAGAACTCACGAGGCAACGGTTTACGTAATGTTTACATGTTGCTGTGAGTAATAAGACAGAAAAAGCCACGCCAAAATAAGTTTAGGAAGCCCACTAAGAATCGTAATAAAAGCATTTAAAATAAATACCATACACAGTTGAGGAAACGTTGGTTTAAGTTCCTGATATGAAGTGGTCGCTGCATAAGCGAAAACCTTTACTCTCGGGGTCCCACTGTTTCATTTTAGCCCGGTCACTAGTGCGTTTTATTACAATGATCCAACGTTTGCGGCGCTCCGAATCTTGGGGAATCCTGTAGATGGCTCATTCCTTATGTCATCCGCGTCTGTTCTGTTCGCATCCTGGGGCACAACAGGAATCTACCATATTTCCTGTCTGATTGAGTTTTCTGACTATAACAAATAGTCCAGCTGCGAGCTTCTGCCTGCCAATATGGTGCCGTTTCGATTTGAACTGTTGCATACCGGGAGAAGTGACGTCAACTCCCGGAGCTCTATACTGCTCCGCTTCTGCCCTCTCCCCCCTCCCTCTGCTTCAGTCCTCTTCCCCCTCCCCCTACTCAGCAGCCGCAAACTCACTGGTGCGCCTGCAGCCTCTCAGAGTTCCTGCTGCTCTAAACATTAAAATAATTATTTCGTTTTCTGTTCCTCACTTCTGATTACCTTCAATGGTGTCTGTTTGTTGCAACCAGCAGGTACAAAAACTAACTTGTTTTTATTTGACAATTTTTCTGTCCTGTCTGTTTATTATCTTCCTGCATCTCCTCTCAATCCTAAAGAAAAACTGCTACCTGGCTTCATTTATTTTCACCTCATGAGTTACCTTTGAACTGCAGTTCTAAAAGATCTACCGACTGCTAAAACAGCGGAGTGCTTGCTGTGCGCCGGCCGCATCAGTGAGATGCGTCATCGGAGGACAAAACAGGTGATGTGCTCCGCTCCACAGCAGCGAAACGCATCAGGCACAAATAAAAGACAGAAAACATAAAAGGAAATAAGCCGACATGAACAATCACGTGTTAAATTAGTTTTTGAGGTGGCGACACCTAATTTGATAATGTTACTGTGGCCGTGCTCAGGACGCAGATGTCTGGAGCGCGTCAGCGATCAGAGCTTTGCATGCGCAAGCTGGTTAAGATTAGGATGGTGTGAGGGGAAGGTTAAATTGCAAGAGGGTAAAGGTCACAATTTGGTTAAATGTCCGTTTTACGGCGGATGTCAGTACCGACGCTCTGGCACAGCGTGTCGCCTCCCAACGTGCAGGGTCTCATCACCTGCTGTCTTTTCCCAGGACTGCATCTTGTCTGTCGTTATCACGTGACAGCGACTAGTCGATGAAAGGCATAAAAAGTCACTACAGAGCAGTGAAGTCGACTAGTCGATTAGTTCATACAACCCCTAGTAAACACACACACTGCCTTGATCACATGACCTCTCTACCCTGAAACTAGCCACTCTCCACACTGAGCTGAGGCAGCCTAGCTTCTAACTCCCTTTGGTTACGTCAGAGGTTCACAGTTAAAAACAAGAGAAAGGAACTTTTTACTAGAGAACTCTGCTTTTATGGATTTTAAAAACAAATATCCACAATAACCTTTTCAAATTGTATTTTTTGGATAGAATTTTATATGAATAAGAAAACATGTTTTACCTGCAATTTGTTCTTTCAAAGTCGACAAGGAACTAAAGCTGGGAGCTGGTTCCATAAGATTGGTGTTCCCTCTTTCCCAGCTGATATTTATAGTTAATATTTTATGGAATGAAATTTCACTTGACTTTGAAAAGGGTAGAATGCCTTCTCCGGGTCAGGGATAAGGTCCTGCCCCAAGTGGAGGAGTTTAAGCATTCCGGGGTCTTGTTCACGAGTGAGGGAAAACTGGAGCGTGAGATCGATAGGTGGATTGGTGTTGCATCTGCAGTGATGCGGGCGTTGTACCAGTCTGTCGTGGTGAAGAGAGAGCTGAGTCGGAAGGCGAAGCTCTCGATTTACTGGTCAATCTACGCTCCTACCCTCACCTATGGTCATGAGCTCTGGGTAGTGACCAAAAGAACGAGATCGCAGATACAAGCGGCTGAAATGAGTTTTGTCCGCAGAGTGTCTGGGCTCTCCCTTAGAGATAGGGTGAAAAGCTTGGTCATCCGGGAGAGGCTCGGAGTAGACCTGCTGCTCCTCCACATCGAGAGGAGCCAGTTGAGGTTGCTCGGGCATCTGGTCAGGATGCCTCCTGGACGCCTCCCTGGTGAGGTTTTCCGGGCACGTCCAACCGGGAGGAGACCTAAAGGTAGACCCAGGACACGGTGGAGGGACTATTGGGCCATTCCCATCTGTACCGTGTCGGGCCGGGTAGCTTAGGTTGTTTACATATCTGGGTGGCCTGGTATTTTTCCGGGACAACCAAGGCTCATTCTAAGCCCTCTTCTCGAGGGGGTCTGCTTCAGGCCGACCAGGGCCAACACACCCACTGCTGACAGCAAATTCACACCTTCCATTAGAGCAAGCTTCTGATTGGTGGGTAGAATCAGCCCACATGGACTTAAGACAAGGATGTGTGGAATCAACCGGGCCAGGCTGGGGTCGATTGGGGCTACCCGGCCCGGGCCGACCCGGTACAGATGGGAATGGCCCATAAGTCTCTCACCTGGCCAGGGAACGCCTTAGGATTCCCCCGGAGGAGCTGGCCCAAGTGGCTGGGGAGAGGGAAGTCTGGGCCTCTCGCCTTGGGCTACTGCCCCAGTGACCCAACTCCGGATAAGCGGATGAAAATGGATGGATAGATGGAAATTTCACTTACATTTCATTCACATTTTAGTAGGGGTAAAATGAATCTTCGAATGGTTCGATTCATTAAATACCTTGGTTCATTTTTTACTGATTTGAAGCTTCGTGAAATGTGCGCAAAAGAGTCTGAACACATTTTACTGGCACACAATGTTGTAATGTAGGTGTTGTGGAGGAAAACGGGACCAGCAAAGACAGGAACCATTATAAAAGGCAGAAATGGTCCAAAGTTTGGGATCAAGAGTTCAACTACGGGTCGATTGGCTAATGCTAAACAAGCGCGTCGTAATTTTAGCAGCAGACCACAGTCTCGTTTCACTTAGTGTCGTCAAATATAATACTCGATTAATCCATGTACGATTTGATAGAGTACTCTAATACCAAAATAATCTGGACTAGATTATTCTACAATAACAGCCAAATCCATGAGAGATGGTTGATAATTTGTGAAACCTTTAGATTAGTTAAAGTTAAAAGAAGGCAAACTTCTTAAATTATGTATTGAGTTTGGATTAACATCCCTGCATGAACATGTTTTTCAGTACTACTGGTTTATAAACAGTAGGCTACGTTTATTTCAAGAGTTTATTTCCATCACCATGAAATAAAACATTTAATAATTAGAACAGATTAAAGATGCAGAAAGTGGAAAAATTAGTTGCAATTAACCTTTCCACATTAGAAATGAGAAAGAGAACCAATTCATCTTTGTACAAAACAATAAAGAAGAGTAGAACAAGAAGAAAGAATAAATAAAAGATTTAGCCAAATTATTAAGAAAACTAAATTTAATTTAAAAATTGTGGCCATTCCTGCATGACCTCATCATGCATTTTGCTTAATCTGCCAATGATGTGGACATAAGCCACCAGGAAGCTGCAGGTAATGTATAAATTAGCCCTGGTGGTGTGTGCAGATGTGCTTTCAGCCAATTTATTACATTCTTAAACAGAACACCTGTTGCAATTTACAATATAAATCATTACCAAGCACATATCTTTTTATCAATTTTGATAACTAATGGAAAAAACAACTAACTTTTGAGTTTTACCGTTTAATATTAAAATACATGATGCTATTCAAGAAGATGTTTCCAGCCAGAGAATGGGGGAATTGCAGCGTGGAAGAAACACCTCGCATGTGGTGCTCAAACATATTTGTCAAGGTTGACACACATCTGCACATATAATCAGTAGTATTTATTTCATTAACATGTTCAGTAGTAAGCTACTGGAAATGCTAATAAATTTAATTTCTACTGGTAACAATGTGATTGTGGTGTATATATTTAATTATGTACGGGTTGGCAATATAATCCAGTCTAAATTGTATTCAAATGTGAAAGCGTTTGTGAATTATATGCTGCACTGGCTTGAAATAGACTGCTGTGGTGGATGGAGCAGACTTGTAGCAACAACCAGTGAGTAGCTGCAGCGGCTCTGCCCCACGCCGCTGCAGACATCCACACATAAACAGGATGGTGGGGGGTTTTCTTCCACCTGCAGCAGCGAATCTGCAGGTCTCTTTCCAGGTCTGTGACCTGATCACATTTTCCTAGTTCCTCACTAGCCCTGAATGTAAACATTTGCCGCTTTAGCTCCGAACAGCAGACAACCGCTTCGACACACTTTGCGGCTGAATTATAGTAACGTGCGTAATGCATAGACAGTCACTCATCTCAGAAAAACTAGTAAACCGACGGAATTGTTTAGAAAATTTTAAGAAAGTTTTAGGAGTGTTACAGTTGCTTTAAGACACGTTTGACATTTAGAGTAGTGAGAACACGTAGCATTTTCCCGGCTGTTCGTCTGACTACTTTCATAAACTACTGCTAAAAGTGAAACATCATTCTGTCTGACATCACTGCTGCACTATATTAGGAATTAAGCTTACCTTGGCTTTGTAAATCTTCAGGTGCACAGGTCAATAAAACAAGCGCTGCATGCGAGCAGCAGCAGTGAGATCAGAGACGATCTCTTAAAAATGTCCGTGTGACGGACTTCGTAGTTTCAGGAAGTTTTTTACAAGTTTCAACAAGAGGCCAACGTGTTTTCCCAAACGCTGCATCAGTCCGAGCAAGGAACCTATCTTCTATCTTAGTAGCAGAGCAAAGCTGCTTTGTTGTTTTGTCAGTGAAATCAGTGTACCCGGAAATTGTGCAATGACAAAGGTCCGCCTATTTGAATTTCAACCTGTGATTAAATGTGTGAATTGTTTATTACGCGTCCTTTTTTTCCAATTAATTATAATTAGCGTGTTAAAGTCCCACCCCTAGTGTTATATTCAACCATATGTAGGGTTGATGATTGCTACATATTTATTTAAATCATCAATCAGATTGATATTCCATAAAAATATGAAACGTCAATCTGATTGATCTTTCAATGTTTAACTCATTCACTGCCATTGACTACTAAAGTCGTCATTTTAGATCCAACCGTTCACTGCCAATACGCATGTTTTTAATGTGTGGGCATCGGACGAGCCCCCGCGCTGTGAGAATAAACATCTCAGCTCTAAGTCCGATCTTCATCCACATACGTCACATGTCTTGTGATCAGGAAGCAGAACATCCATGTGTTAGGAGATCGTTTTGGGCCGCTGCTGTAAAAAAAGTGAGGCGTGAACCGGAAAAGCTTCTGCCGATCACAACTCAACAACGGATTATGAAAGAACGGATAACGCTCGAAACGCGCGGATTCTTCCTGATGTAAGAGGTGAGTCTCCGCTTTGTTTTAGTTGTTTAGGCGTCGACATCATCCTAGTGCGCAACGTTCTGTGACTTAAAAAAACTGTAAAAACGGCGGGAAACCCTGGCAGCGAACGAGTTAAACAAGATTCCAGTTACTTGACTTATTCAGGGACCATAAACACACTTTGTATTAATTCAGACAGTCAGGTTTGTAGTTTATAAAAATGAATTTATTTCTTTTTCCCTAAACCTAATTTTTTTTATTTAATTTTATAATTTCAGTAAGTATGTAGTCAATCCATGCTATACACACACACACACACACACGTTTATTTATATATATATATATATATACACACACACACACGTTTATATATGTATATATGTGTGTGTGTGTGTTTGTACGTACATTGGCGCGTGTTCTCCAGCCCGGTCTGCTGCTCTGCAGGGCTGTTTGTGGTCGGGTCCAGACCAGCTCTGTAACACGGTACATATCAGCAGACCCTCAGATTCATTTATAGACTCGGCCTTGTGTCTCCTCATGTCTGCCTGGCAACACCTAACTCTACTGTTCCAACCATTCCAGCTCTCACACCTTTCAGAAACTTTGGCCCGGTTTCTCTTTCACCAAGTCTAATTACTGGACACACAGCAGTCTGGGGAGTTCAGATGCAGGACATTCTTTGTTCCTTTCATGTCTGAGCTTCATTTCTCCACCTGTGAGTTAATAGAGTTTTTCTCCTGTCTTCGTTAGGTCCAGGGGGCTCCTTTAAAGAAGAAAGTGGACAACATGTGGAGCAGCCTGAAAAGCAGATGCCAGACTCTCTTCCATAGCACAGGATGCAACGAAGGCCGGGCTGAGGCAGATGCGGTCCACTGTGTGGTGGATCTGGGTGAAGGAAGCCGCACAGGTGAAGCTCAAGGGCAGCAGGCTTCCAGCCCATCCTGGAGCCTCCTACCGGGGCCCGTGGTAACCACAGGACGCAGCCATCATAACTGTGCAACAGATGTCCCACAGATAGTAGAGATCTCCATCGACAAAGACTCTGATGATGGTCGGGGGAGCTCAGGTGGCGTTCCCATGGCACGCAGAGACTCCTATTCCCGCCATGCTCCATGGGGCGGCAAGAAAAAGCACTCGTGTTCCACCAAAACCCAGAGCTCTTTAGAGACAGAACGGCGTTCCGGGCGCTTAAGAGGATGTGGGAACCGTAGAGACCGGCGCTATGGAATCAGCTCCATTCAGGAAATCAATGACTCCTCATCTGGTGGGCGTGGTCTAAGTGGCCGTTCCTTTCGCCAGCGGCTAAGTGATACGGTTGGGTTGTGTTTACCACTGTCTGTCCGGAGACACGCGCACTCATCTAAGAACCCGGCCAACTCTAAGCGGAAGATTCATCTGACGGAGCTCATGCTAGAGACCTGTCCCTTCCCACCGGGCTCGGACCTGGCCCACAAGTGGCACCTGATCAAACAGCACACGGCACCTGTCAGTCCACATTCCTCCACTGCCCTTCTGGACGCATTTGACTCAGCTCAACCTTCACCTGAGGATGAGGAAGAACGTCTGCGTGAGCGCCGTAGACTTAGCATTGAGGAAGGGGTCGACCCACCACCCAACGCACAGATCCACACCCTGGAGGCCTCTGTGCCGGGTTCGTCTCTCTACAAACTTGGACCAAAGATGGCTCCTGGCATGGGAGAGGCCTCTGGGGAAGCTCGGACCTCCGGGTCTGGCATCTCTCTGGCAGCCGGAGCATCAGGGGCATGTGGACAGGTGCTGGGATGTGGAGCATCCTCTCAAGACTGTGATTCTGAGGAGGATTCAACCACCTTGTGTCTACAAGCCAGGAGGCCAAAGCAGAGGCACGCCTCTGGAGATGGTCACCAGAGCAGGCAGCAGCCTGGACCCTGGAAGGTTCACACCCAGATAGACTACATCCACTGCCTCGTGCCAGACCTTTTACTCATTACAGCTCTGCCATGTTACTGGGGCGTGATGGACCGCTATGAGGCAGAGGCTCTGCTGGACGGACGCCCCGAGGGCACCTTCCTGCTGCGCGACTCGGCCCAGGAGGACTACCTCTTCTCCGTTAGCTTCCGCCGCTACAATAGATCTCTGCACGCACGCATTGAGCAATGGAACCACAACTTCAGCTTTGATGCTCACGACCCTTGTGTTTTCCATTCTTCCACCGTCACAGGACTGCTGGAGCACTACAAGGACCCGAGTGCTTGCATGTTTTTTGAGCCGCTGCTTACGGTGCCGCTCCATCGGACCTTTCCCTTCGCCCTGCAGCACCTGGCTCGAGCCGCCATCTGTCGGTGGACCACTTACGATGGCATAGGCTCTCTGCCGTTGCCCCCTGCCCTGCAGGACTTCCTTAAGGAGTATCACTATAAACAGAAAGTACGAGTCCGCTGGCTGGAGAGGGAGCCACCACTCAAGGTGAAGTAGGGCTGGCCTTTCCATCGCCTGAACGCACACGGCGGGAGGTTCCTTGGTAGCCAGTTAAAGGCTGTATGTCTTTCAGATGGGGGATAGAATTAATTATAACAAGCTACTTCAAAGTTTATTCTAATCTTTGTTTTTATTAATGACATCACAAATGCACACATATGATATTCTGTGTAAACCTGTTTTAATGGGGGGGGGCGTCTCCTCTCCTGGTTTGTGTTAAACGTCTGGCTGATTCCTCCACACCCCGCCTGCATGCTGACCGTTCATACCACACAACCGTTTGACTCTGTTGTACAGTCCGCTTTGTGCTCGAGTCCCCCACTCCGCCCGGCGGAGCGTTGGTGACACATCTTCCCCAGGTGTGCCGGTTCAGAGCTGGCCCTGCGTGCATGAGCATCAGGTGTGTAAAGGTGGAGTCATCTGGCTAAACAGGTGAAACGTATGCTGCTGTGTGGCCGAAGGGACACTCTGTAAGGGAATGATCACAATTCCTTCTGCTCTGCTAGTCGTCTTCTCATGCAGCACTCTTCTCTGGCGAATGAATCCAACATGGCTGCTGCCTGTAGCAACCTCGTCTCTGACGTAGCACATCCCACTAATTCGGAGTGACAGCTAGAACAACAAACTGGTTTTCCCAATCATGTGACTTAAGACCTCATCCAGAACCAGAGTGTGGGCATCCTGGAGGCTACCTGGGGTCCTCCGGGACTGTTGCTCCTGTAAGATGCAGAATAAGGCATTTGTTAGAACGATGAAAGGGGGGTTCGTGTCTCCAGCATAAAAGCTTCAGCTGTGAATGATTTTAGTTCCTGCTGGCTTGTCTGGTTTCTGTTGAAACCTGGAACCTTCGTGCCTTTTTCAGAACCTTTGGTCTGGTTCTGGTGGGACTGGTGAAGGTTCAGTCATCCAGGCTACGGTCCTCTTGGGTTTACTTTATTTCTGATGAGCTTCTCTTCTGAGGACTTCTCACAATGAAACAGAAAAGTGCAAAGTACCAAGCTTATAAAACAACAGGTGCATGAGCTCTGAGCTCACCTTCCTATGGTGCACGTTAGACTTTAGTGGTGCTATTTAAATAAAAACCTGAATACTAAAAATAAGCTTTAGTTGTGTCTGTCTCACTCTGATGCATGCATTAATCTGTATCTCACAATATTAGGTTGTTATTAGGGAGTTGTTCTGCTCCAGTTCTACGTGTTCCACACTACTGCCTGGAAAAGGAACGTAGATGCACTAATTAGCATTATACCATAAAAATAGGCATTTTAAATGTCTCCTACAGGCCAGTATCTCAGTGGGGCCTGGGCCTCTGGGACAAAGATGAATCAGAGTTGGAAAGGTTTTTCCAGCGATCAGTTTAAGAAACGGCTGCTGATTTACATCAGCTGAGGGGAGCTGTTCAACAGTGATTGGACCTAAATCACTTCTGTTACATTAAAACCATATAAAATTACATTTAAGATGATATAAAGTAATTATCTAGCATTCAGATGTTTGTACGAAACGCATGTGGACACCTACTAATTAGACTCTGCTCGATCTCGTTAAATTAATGTGTGCAGACATGCTGCTATGAAAGCACAGAAGAATGATTCTGACCTATGATGCTATGGGAACCCAGAGGTCCAAATGGGATGTCGGAGGACAGAAACCGCTTTAGCGGGTTTTGTCCTGCCGTCTGGTGCTTAATTCTTAAAAACACAAGATGCATCAGAGGGAATGACTGCGTAGGAGGAGGAAATTAAACTAACCAGAATAATTGTACTATGATGAATGGCCTGTATGTGAACAAGCACCTTCTAGGGTTCTACACTTCCCCCAAGGCACTTTACAACACAACATTCATTTGCCCACACACACATGCTGGTGGGAATGAGCTACATAATTGCCACAGCTGCCCTGGGGCGCACTGATGGAGGCTGGCACCGCCGGTCCATCTGACAACCACCAGCTGGCAAGGCGGATGAAGGGCCTTGCCCAAAGACAACCGCAATGGGAGTAATGGTACCAGAGCTCAGCACTGAGCTGGTCCCGGTCCGGTGTTGGTGCTCTTTCAAGAGACGAAGCTGAGATTTCTGGAGAGAAATCTGCCAAAGTCGGAAGCACTTTAGTGTGAGTTTGTGTTCAACGGTGACGTGTGAAGGCCTCATCTGGGATCTAAAGACAGGATTCGGGTGTTTTTAGGAGTTCAGCTACAGAAAAACCAGATTCCTGTTTTGGAGCAGACTGGACCGTGAGGGGTGGTCTTAGCCACTCCTATGAACGGAACGATCTCACCGCGTTTTGCCCACACCGTGTTTTCCCTCCATAAGAGGCAGCAGAAGCGGTTTGGGTTTGTTTTTGAAGCCTTGGTGGAGCTGTAGCCCCCCCACCCCGGTCCCAGTACGAGTCATGGATCCAGACCTTTAGAACATTTATTATTGTTCCCCTACGGTAGAACGTTTGCTTAGGAGCTGAATGCAAATGATGTCTAAAAAAACAGCCCTGATTATGCAACGGAGTGTCAACGTTTAATGGTTGTAATCCCGTCACTTTAATGCTGTTCGTGCACGCTGGCGCCGACGCAGGAGGACCTGACAATGATGGGAACTCATGGTTGTGGCTGTGCGGCGCCGCCACGTTCCCTGACCGCCTGGTTCGTTCTGACCTATCACAGAAGCCACTGAGTCGTCAGACGAATATCTCTTCTCCTTTTTCTTTTCCTGCTGTCGGATTGGATGGATAATCAGTTCCACTTTTCAGTGTCTGTTCTGGTTTAACCTGTTTTTATTTTCAAGAACCGTCTCAATACATCACATGTAGTTGTCACTCTTGGTGCTTGGCTTATGTTTCATTGTCTTAATATTCCAAATAAAACTGCGATCCTCACCGGCCCTAGTGATGCTCTGGTGTCGTTCTTCACACATGGTAACCATTACACTACAATTCTAGATTCACATGCTCGCACGTTTCCTGTCTGGCAGGGATCCAGGTGGAAGCATCAATAAGTTCAGGTGTTTTCTGAGGAGCTCCAGAGAAAATAAAAGATGCTCCACACATTCTGAATCGGTCCAAAATAGAAAAGTGGCGACACGGTCTGGATTTCAGAGCTGGATGTGGGTCGGTGATGGGTCAGTACCATCACCGTACTTGCATGACTGACCATCATTTGTGATAAAAGACAAAGCTGCCGATAAACGTCTTTGTTGACTCTTCACTGACAAGAACGACCCAGAAGAGACAGTCTGGTGCAGCTACATTTATTTTCTGAGGTTTTATGTAAACAATCTTCCTTAATAAACTCAACAGACAACAAATAAACCTCACTGAAACCAGGGAGATTTTAGCTCAAAGTCCAGAGCTCCATCCATGATGAGAAAATCTCATTCACGTCCCAAAAGTTCTGGCTGCAGTCCAGTGAGTTCATGGTCATCTTCTAGAAACCAGTTAAGAGATGATCTGAGCTTTGTGACCTGGTGCATGATCCTGCTGGAGGTAAATGGGTTAGGCTGCAGCTGGTTTGGTTCTGCAGACCTTGTCTCTGGTTGTGGGTTCAAGTCCCAGTAAGTCAGGCCAGTCGGGTAAATTCTTCTTTGTCCTGATTCTTCATCACTTCTAGGCGGACAAATGCTGTTGCGTTAAAAAAAAACAAATCTTTCTGATTTTGTGACATAAATCACGATGAAAAAAAGGAAATAACCAAAGCTTCACACAGGTTAAAAATACTGCCTGCTGTTAGAGGACAATCCAGCCAGAGCAGCACTGGAGGGAAATATTTAACCACAAACTTTTATTCCAGAAAGGAAAATCTATCCGTGGGGGACCAACAGGTGATGAAGAACCTTCTGAAGCCCTCAGAGAGGAAGTCTGGAGATTAGGTGGTGGTGCAGCACCTATTTAGGATTTTTACGGGATGTTTTTGTTATGACCTCCTGCTCTAAATGTATTCTGTCATTAAAAAACCTAGAAACGTGCGTCTCCATGGCGACGGATCACATTAGCATCACATGCCACAAGCGCTCCCACCCCAACTCCTCCAGCTCACGCGATGAGATCGGATGAGATGCTGACTGCTCCTAAACCTGAAGAATGGAATCAGATTATCTCCACTGACCACTGGCTAACCTGCCTCTGGCTGCAGAAAAACTAGTTTGGCTTCTTACGCAAACTTCTGCACTTAACCAACCCCCCCCCCCCCCCTCTCTCTCTCTCTCTCTCTCTCTCTCTCACACACACACACTCTCTCTCTTCTCTCCCTCTCTCTCTCTCTCTCTCTCTCTCTCACACACACACACACACACTCTCTCTCTCTTCTCTCCCTCTCTCTCTCTCTCTCTCTCTCTCTCACACACACACACACACACACACACAATTTTCAAATCCTGTTTTCATTTAGCACATGGCAGCGCTCCATCAATCTCCCAGTTTCACAAACCAAAGCTATTTCCTGATTCCCTCCCTCTCTCATATAATTATTCTGCTGGACTGAGCCTCTATTTCTTCCAGGACTATCTGTCCTGTTCTGTCCTCACAATGACACCAAAGCCTCAGCCAGGCAGAGATGTTCAGGTTTGTTTCCTGAGGGTTTCACTTCAGATCTGTTCAGAGATCATTTTAAAGCTCAGACTCACAGAACATGGTGGAACAATTAAACTCTGATTGAAGAAGCTTTGCCTCGTGGGTCACTGTGTTCTCATTCACCCAGGACAAGGAAATCCTGTAAAGTCTGAGAAATGAAATGATAAGTATATTTTAAAACTGAATATATTATTAGTATAACCACTTTTATATGCATATTTTTGTTATATTTTATTTTCATCAGTAAATTATATTTAACATAATAGTGATTAATAACTCAATATGGCCCTTGTTATCTGTAGTTCCTCCACCAGGGGGCAGCAGACATGTTAGACTGACAGTCGGTTAATTGGGTAGCTGCTTGCCAAGGGCGTCAGTTTGTTGTCAGAATTGCTGGGGACAATAACCATACACTTGAGTGGGGTTTAAAAATTGCTGGGGACAATAAAGTAGGCTAGCACAGGGGTCGGCAATTTGCGGCTCTGGAGCCGCATGCGGCTCTTCCATCCATCTGATGCGGCTCTCTGTGCTTGTAAAATAATGAATGGATATTTAAATAAAATGCTTTATATTTTATTGCATTAATTTTACATCTGTATGCCAATTCTAAATGTAAAGATTGTCTGCGTAAACCTGAACAGGTCCAACCCGGTCTTACTGTGAGACCGGGTTGACGGGTCACGCTTGTGCGTAATCATATGCGCTTCCTGAGCTGAAGATGTGAGATTCTGGGCTTCTCCTCAGACGGCTCCTGGATGTGTCGCCACATTGGAGACAGGAACAAGTGCTATAGAGCTCCGGACCCCACGTGACTCTCAGTTAGTAGACGCCATTTTGGCAGGAAAAAAAAAGGTAAACAAACACGGATGTAACCATGAACATGAACGGGATCCGCTTGGATTTTAATTCGTCGGAGTTTACTTCACACTTTAAAACCGAAGAAATCGTTTTATATAGTCAGAAATTAAATAGACTAAACATCTCCGACCCTTACCGTGCCCCTGGGATACTTTTTAGAAACGCCAGAAGCTGTCGGAGCGGACAACACCGGACCTGGCCGGGGAACCCCTTGGGATTTCCCCGGAGGAGCTGGCTCCGGCGGCTGGAGAGAGGGAAGTCAGGGCCTCTCGACGCTACTGCCCCCGCAACCCAACTCCGGATACGCGGATGAAAATGGATGGATGGATGGATAAATAACATAGATTTACATGTAAGTAGTTTAAATAGAGTGCTGTGCTGTTTGAATGCATAAACTGAATGCCAAGAGAAATCACTAGTTTGATTTTTTTTTCGTGAATAAAATAAATATGTCAGTCAGGAGCATCTCAGGATCTGTCTGAGATCTGTCTCGGTGAGACAGATAATAGCAATCCAAAGTGCTTTTTATGTGTGATCTGACAATTGATCAACCATTGCTTAAAAATTAAATACAGCTTAGCCGGTTAATTGCTGTGATCATAAAACACGGAAACGGCAGCACGCAGAACTGACGAGGCAACGTTTTACGTGATGTTTACTTGTTGCTATGAGTAATAAGACAGAAAAAGCCACGCCAAAATAAGTTTAGGAAGCCCACTAAGAATCGTAATAAAAGCATTTAAAATAAATACCATACACAGTTGAGGAAACGTTGGTTTAAGTACCTGATATGAAGCGGTCGCTGCATAAGTGAAACCTTTACTCTCGGGATTCCACAGTTTCATTTTATCCGGTCACTAGCACGTTTTATCACAATGATCCAACGTTTGCGGCGCTCCGGATCTTGGGGAATCCTGTAGATGGCTCATTCCTTATGTCGTCCGTGTCTGTTCTGCATCCTGGGGCACAACAGGAATCTACCATATTTCCCGTTTGATTGAGTTTTCTGACAATAACAAATAGTCCAGCTGCCGGCTTCTGCCTGCCAAATGGCGCCGTTTCGATTTGAACTGTTGCATCCCGGGAGAAGTGACGTCAACTCCCGGAGCTCTATTCAGCCAAAGTTTCATAATCAGGGAACATTTTCTAAGTGACAAGTCTCTCTGAGAGACAGGGTTTGGAAAACACTCGCTTCAGTGGGAGGAATCTTCCCGCATGCACTCTGGTTCTCTGGGGTTAATCAAGTTTAATTGTTTCTCTTTGCAACAATCTTCACATGAAGGCAAAACAGTTAAACGGCAGGTTACATATATTTCCATTTGACTGTTTATTTTGACAGATGAACTCAAGGATGTTGCTTGGTTTGAAAGAATTACCCCGACGCGCACTGATGCGCATGGATGAGCTGACATTTTAATCGTTAACGCACATCGCGGAGGTAAAATATTCCCATCAGAACATCAGAGCTTTATACTGGACACTGTGTTCAGCGTGGCTCCGAGCGCCCACGGTGGACAGTGAGCTGAAGATCTGGGGTTCGCAGCGCAGTGCAGAACCACGGCGCATGCGATAAGATTTCCTCCCACTGAAACAGTCTGGAAACCCGGTCTCTCTGAGGGATGTGTCACTTGGAAAAATGTTCTTTTTATGAAATTATGAAACTTTGGCTGAACAGCGCTTGTTCCCGTCTCTAATATGGAGACGCATGACGCGTAGAGACATTTGATCACGCACAAAGTTTATGTGGAGCAGAAGCGGTCGGGCCACGACAGGTGAAATGTTCCTAGCCTACATGAAGTGAAACTGTTTAATTGTAACATTAATATGTTACTGGACACGCTGGTCTGGTTGGTTAGACCAGTGTTTGAAGTGGAAAACACACACACACACACACACACACACACACACACAACAATTAAAATAATGCTGATAGCATGGACTAGAAGACAGGTGATGGGTTATGTATTTAAATGATGATCAGGCTGCTGTAAAATGTAATCTCCATCCACATCAAGACACAATTATCCTTTATTCTTTCTCTATTTGCTCTGCTCTTGTCTGGGCTGACGTAGCTGACGGTGCGCGCGTCGCGCCTAACTAGCGGCTGATGCACATTTTACGCATTTGGAGAGGTGGGTTGGACGCTTTGCTTTTACTGGAAGATGGTCCACTTAACGCACGGGTGTAGACTAAATATTAATGACAAATGAAAATTAAATTGTGAGTTTTTACTTCATATTTTATAAATAAAAAGGATGGGGAACACATTTATGACGTCTTTTTAAACTAAATTTTCTACGCCTGCTTCACTTAAGTCACTGCTTATTAAGGTCCGTCCAAAATTACCATGGGAAACGGGTAATAATGGCTCTTTGATGGGAACAGGTTGCCGACCCCTGGTATAAGATCTGAGCTGGTAAAACAAAAATCCTCATCAGCAGGCATTTTTGAAAGTGGGGGGGACACAGCTGCCAATCACAAATTTTGCCGGGGACATGTCCCCGGCGTCCCCGGTTAAAATGACGCCTATGCTTGTATCTATACGTATACTTTAAAACTTTTCAATACATTTATTTTCTTTTTAACCTTTTTTATTTACCAGTACTGTGCAGATGAAAGAGGAAGTGGAACATCATTTCAGGCCTGAACCATCGACATATAAATATGGCCTGAACAAACGGATTTTGGTTTGACAGTACTGGCCCATGTTTACGCTCCCAACCGCTTGGTGGCGGTACTGGCGCTTCAGTGTGGCTCCCTGCTGCTAACAAACGTAGAAGAAGAACAAGAACAGGAAAAAAACCCAAACGTGTATCAGCTGAGTTGGATGTAAAATCTGTTTTTCACTCGTAGTTATTTGACGCAGATCGTTTAGATGGAGAATGACGTCCTCGTGTCTCTGGAGGATTTGGGGTGAGCAACAAAAACAACTTTTACCTCCGCCGTCAGTTTCCAGAGACCCGCGCCCACCCGTATATCCGGTTTTAGCTAGTCTGTCGGTCAGCGGGATCTTTCTTTAGCTAAAACGAGCTGCTCGTCCGTTTGCTATAACTGTGATTAATTGCCTCCGTCCCGTTGGAAACAGAGCTGAAAACCGGGTTTTACGTGGCATACGCAGCCAGCTGTGTCAGCACAAACCAAACCTGACGGCTGTCTGTCAGCTCGGGAGGATCCGGTTCTGGAAAACCGGGTCTGAGAGGAGCATTGAGTGTTAATGTGGATGCTAGCGAGCTGGAATGAGCCCGGAAGAGTCTGGTTCAACATCAAATCATCTCAGACATTTAGGCGCTGGTGTGTGTGTGTGTGTGTGTGTGTGTGTGTGTGTGTGTGTGTGTGTGTGTGTGTGTGTGTGTGTGTGTGTGTGTGTGTGTTGGGTTGGTGTGTAGGTACCAAGGCCCCCTGTTGGAGGACGGAGCTCTGGATTCTGCCGCCTCTGGAGGAGCAGCCTCTCCAGAGTTCACTAAGCTTTGTGCCTGGATCGTCTCAGAGCTGAGGCTCTACCTCAGACTGGAGGAGAACGTCCACGCCACCAACTGTAAGATGGCTTTTAATCCTGATGGATTGTGGATTCTCTCTTCCACACAGAGTCAAACTGATAAAAAACTGGCTTAACTACCTACAAACACCCCACCAATGTTTTGTTTAATTGGGTATTTTAAACCTCTTCATCATGTCAGCTCTCTGGTCTCACATTTCAGCTGTTATATTCTTGACAGTCTCAGTACCTTTCAGATAGAATCATTTCAGGGCTCTGTCACTTTAACCACGCCCACCCATCCTCTGATCGGGTGCTACAGGGCAAGGAGGTCATGTTGGATATCCTGGAGGGTCATCATTCTAATTGAAGACCCAACTGGGTCCATGTTTCAACCATTCAGGTGAAGTTGAAGAATCCGGGGGTGGTCCTCCCTCTCCTCTTTTGTGCACTAAAACCACAACATGATACCTCCGCCTCCATGCTTGACAGTTGGTACATCCATCTTCTCATTGTGGCAAAACAGCTCAATCTTCATCTAATTCGAACCTAGAACCTTTATCCGGAAGACATTTTTCTCGTCCATATGGACAGCAGCAGATTCCAGTCCAGCTCGAGGGCGGCCCTTCCGGAGCAGAAGCTTTTGCCTTGGTCTCCATATTGTGTGTAACTGGCTTCCCTGTGGACGGAGACTCTGGTGTTCCAGCATGTTCTAGTTCATGGTAGACTTCAGCCTTGATGTTCCTGAACATCAGAACCTCTTTCCTGTGATCTGAGTGGAGCAGATGGGAGTTGGTCATCATGATCACTGAAGGAAATCGGCCTTGACTTCATCGAGCTGAGACATTCTAGAATCGTCTGCTTCTTCTGGGTGGATGTATGTCAAGATTTTAGCTCATGGGTAACATTTGCCTGTTTGGAAGAGAGAAAAATGGGTTTAATAAATTTTCCGTCCTGGGAAATGAAGAGTGGATATTAATGGTTAATCTTACCCTGAGTCAGATTCCTGTTTGAACTAAACTGTGGTGTTGACCTTCTACTTGCTGCAGGTCCAAGCGAGGCAGAGGGCTTCCAACTGGAGATGAGCGGTCTTTTGTCAGAGCTCGCCTGTCCTTACGCCGTCCTCACCAGTGGAGACATCACCCAGAGGTTCCTCAGGAGGATCGACTCTCTGCTGCTCCTCAGTATGAACCTTATAACATCTGGTCCGAATACAACAGACGTTTTTCTACCTTTACACTAGTGATGTGTCGGTCGCGAACGAACCGGCTCTAAGAGCCGGCTCTTTGAAGTGAACGACGGGAGCCGGCTCATCATTGGGAGCCGTCCCCTCCTCTCCCCCTCCCCTCTTGCTTTGGTGAACACTACAGGCGATTGGTCAACATGTGTAACTGTGTGACCAGACTGTCCACACAGAGCAGTAGGGACGGGGAAGAGGGAGGATCAGACTCAGACACACAGCAGAGCACATGCGGGTGGAGGTAGACGAGAGGGAATGAGGAGGAGGAAAAAGGCGAGCGAGATAGAGAGGAGAGTGCGACGAAGATGGTGAGAAAATGAGCGCCAGCAGTCGGAAAGTGAAGATTTCTTAAAGTGTTCAGTTATTAAATCCATAGAAATGATAAATATTTGATATATTGCATTTGTTTACATTAGTAAATCATTTTACATATAGTTAGCATTATTTTGGTTATAAATGTACTCTACGCAACAGAAAATCTGAGGAGCCATTTGGGAGCCGAAAGAGCCGGCTCTTTTTGGTGAGCTGAGCCAAAAGAACCGGCTCTCTAAAAAGAGCCGGAATTCCCATCACTACTTTACACCCGAGTTAAGGAGTTAAACTCACTCCATGTGTTGGTGCCACGCCCACCTGTGTCCACCCTCAGGTCATGTGACCTGCTGACATAACTATTATGGTGAACTGTTTCAGAAAATCTCAGTTAAAACTTGCTTTTAACATTTTCTGGTGTAAAATTAATCTTTTCTCTGTTACCACCGTGTTGGATGTCTTCTCTAGACAAGCTCAGCTTATCAATATTTCTTTATCTGACTGCACCATCTAGAGGTTGAAAACTGTATCACACCAGGAGCCTTCTCCACCTAATGTGTATTATGGCTGAAAGCAACGCCTCTCCTCCGGCAGCGCGCATCTCTACCCGGCCAACGGAGCTAAAACACGGTTTAGTCACTATTTTCACATTTTGCTCTCAAACATGTTTCAAAGACTTGTTGGTCAAGGAAGAACGTTGGCAGCTCTGCATCAGTGTAGGTACGTCTTCCAACGCTCGTGCTCTGTCTGTGATGGACATCTGTACGTAAGCGTATGTCTATCGCTGCTGGCTAATGCTGAACAGCACCTAGGTCATGATCTGCAGGATGGGGGACGGGCCTAGCAAAAATTAAAATGACATATTGTCTTCACAGAACGGGGTCAGACTTTCCCTTTTACGGAGTTCTAAACAATCATACATAATTCCTGAAAGGGGAAACTCCGGATTGCAGCTTAATCTCCTAGTTTGAGTTGGAATGATGAACAAAGCCAGCCGTCTTTATAAGTGGTAAATAGTCTGTATTTGATACAGCGCCTTCTAGAGTCCTGGAACCCCCCAAGGTGCTTTACAACCCATTTCACACGCTGGTGGGGATGAGCTACGGTGTAGCCACAGCTGCCACGGGGCGCACTGACAGAGGCGCTACCGGTCCTTGCGACCACCACCAGCAGGCAAGGGGGTTAAGTGTCTTGCCCAAGGACACAACAACAGAGTGAGCGGGACTCGAACCTGCAGCCTTCTGATTACAGGGCGAGCTCTTAACTCCTGTGCTGCCGTCGCCCCAGAAGTTAAAGTGTTGATGTTTTATTCTTCGCTAGGTTCCTCCTCCTGGTCTTCTCTGATTTCTGCAGGTGTGGCGTTTCTCACAAGGAGCTGACTTACAGCATAATTCCTTCCTGTTTTTAAGGAATTGGTGCTTCCCAGCTAGCTCCGCGTTGCTCCTCGGCTACATTTTATTATCTGGAGCATTTATTGGTTTTTCTGCTGGCTGAAGGATTTTCCCTCGGCCAGAAACTGTGATGCTAAAGGGTGAACTGCAGCCATAAGTCTAAATGAAGCATTTATAATCAAACTCATTTCAAATATGAAGTTCTGACCCTTGAATGTTGTCTTTCTGCTCTTTCATTATTGGGGGATATTATTTTCTGCCTTTTTTATGTTTTCATTTTGTTTTTCAGATGTTTCTCTGACTTTTTAAACCTGCTTCTGGACTCCATCTGGGTGACTAAATGGGTTTTAATAGATGAAAGAGCGCTGGCCATAAAATAACACCAGAGGGTTTCCATGAATGCATGAGCACTAAACGTTAAGGTGTTTTTCTGCCTCAGCCTTTTTAGTGTCAGAGCTGGAGGCGGCGAGGATGATTCTGGTCAGCAAACCTCAGCAGAAGGCTCAGGACTCTGGTAGCCCCGTCTTCCAGGAGCTGAAGGGCATCTGCATGGCACTGGGCATGTCCAAACCTCCAGCTAACATCACCATGTTCCAGTTCTTCAGCGGAATTGAGAAGAAGGTTCGTTTTAGTTTGTGTTTGAGCTTCGGTGTAGATTTACTCTCCTCTCATCTGCATGTTGCTTTATTTTCCCCTCAGCTGAGAGAAGCCATAAGTCGGGTCCCACCGAACCACGTAGGAGAGCCGCTGATGAAGAAACAGCTCGGACCAGTTCACATGGTACGAACTAGAAAAGCAGAGAAAAACACCAAGAAGTCAACAATTTTTCTCACTTTTTGTTTCCTTTTGCTGCTCCAACAGGAGAAAATAGAAGCTATAAACCAAGCGCTTGTAAATGAGTATGAAGTTAGAAGGAAGATGTTGTTGAAACGTCTGGACGTGACCGTTCAGTCCTTCAGCTGGTCGGACCGGGCTAAGGTACGTCTCGGCTCGGACTAATCACTGGTTTGATGTCATTTACCTGAGAAAAGCTGCTGAACATGTGAGCGCTTCTTGTTTTAAAGTGTGTGTGTGTGTGTGTGTGTGTGGGGGGGGGGGGGGGTTGTTGGGGGAGAGAGAGAGTGTGTGTGTGTGTGTCAGAGGGGGGGGGGCTTGGGTCCCATTTTTAAATTCTTTGGAACGACCTGACTGGTTTTGAACCCTGATGGCCCAGGGCGGACACGCCCACTAGGCCGCTGAGCTGGGTGGGATGTTTCTGTTCAATCCCTAACAGACCTGTCTTTGTTTTAACCCAACATTTAAAACATAATATTTAAGTAAAACTGCAGAAACTGGCACAGAAAGATTTTTAAATTATATGTTTTTACTCATCATCCAATCAGACCATCAGGTAAAGACGCTGAAGTATTTAATAGTTTTTTAACTGACCACATAAAACAGCATCAGATCAAAGGGAATGAAAGCAGAAGCTCAGGAGGCAGAGCGGCTTGTCCAGTAATCAGAAGGTTGCAGGTTCGATCCCAGGCCCCGACCAGAGAATGCTGCTGTTGTGTCCTTGGGCAAGAGTTAACTCCCTTTACCTGCTGGTGGTCAGAGGGACCGGTAGCGTCTGTGCTCTGTAGCCTCGCCTCTGTCGGGGTGCACCAGGGCAACTGTGGCTACATCGTAGCTCATCACCACCAGCGTGTGAATGACTGAATGTGTTATGAAGCGCCTTGGGGGGTTGTAGAACCATAAGAAGGTGCTGTACAAATACAGGCTGTTTCCCTCTGTTTCTCTAAATCCAGTAAATATTTAAGATTAAAAAAATATTTTACAAGTTTGATAATTTGCTAATTTTAAAGGTGCATTATGTAGAAATGAAATAAAAATGACATCCTGTGGTAAAATGTGGTTCCTGCAACTCTGAAGATTTTTGCCGACCGTCATCAAATTACAATAGTTAGTGGTGGTCGGAGGGACCGGTGGCGCCTGTGCTCGGCAGCTTCCCCTCTGTCAGTGTGCCCCAGGGCAGCTGTGGCTACATTGTAGCTCATCACCATCAGTGTGTGTGTGTGTGTGTGTGTGTGAATGGATGAATGATGCACTGTAGTGTAAAGCGCTTTGGAGTCCTTACTCTGAGAGGTGGTGTACAAGTGCGGGTCATTTATCATTCTTGCATACTGCACCTTTAAATGTGTTAGTTGTTTTCATTAGTTATTTAAATGAATCCTGTTGATTTTCTGAAGGTCTTTTATTTCCCGTTTAGAAGAATCATCCATGTTTATCAAACCGAAGCAGTCACTGCACAGATTATCTGAGAGCATCTCGCCATGTTTGTGAAGTTAACACACTTGAATAATGGTGTAACAATAAAAATCAACCATGTTTTACTGCAGACACGTTCTGAGAAGTTGGGTAGAGTCTACCAGCCGCTGCGCTCTGCCCTCGGCGCCAGAAGTAAAGTCTCTGTAGCACATCTTCTCGCTGCTCGACAAGACTTCTCCAAGATTCTTCGCACAAGCAGCGGCAAAATCCGAGAGAAGACGGCATGTGCCATTAATAAGGTGGGTCGACCATGTAACGCCGGGGACACACCAGCCGCCGAAGCGCCGCGAAACGGGGACCGCCTTCATTCGGCGCCCTTGTTATCCTATTCTATAGACCACATGGGCCACCGGCGCTCCAGCCCGTGCCGTGCAGTGATCGTTTCAGGGTCTGCTCTATTTTTTTCGCGAGCCAAGGGTGAACCGCGTCAATTCTGGCAGGAAGTCAAACCTAGACATAAGAGGCAGGCCGGTAAATTTAACAAATTAAAGCATTTCAAAATACAATTCCGCGATGGTCAAATGTGTTCGTAAACAGACACTGCATAAAAAAAACACACACACACACACAGCGAACTTGTGTGTGTGACCACGTGAAGGGGGTGTGGTTTTGGGTGTCTTTCAACCGGAGCAAACAGGACAGAGACGCAGAAAGTCGTAGGCCAGCTATTAACAACTGGTTCACACCATAGGTTCACACACACACACATACAAACACACACAAACGGCAAGGGGGAGGGGGGTGTCGAGGAAAAGAGCAGAGAAAAGGCAGAGAGGAAATGGAGGACACCAACAAGTGGTTAAAAGAAAGACTACGAGGCGTGCCTCGACCGGAGAAACAAGCATCTGGTCCGAACTGAGGAGCAGCGAGCAGCGGCCGAATTTCGTGAGCGCTTCGCCTCCCGGCGCTTCGGCGGCTGGTGTGTCCCCGGCGTTATACAACCCCATGATGGAGTCCTACAATGGATAGGCTGGTTTGCTGTGACCACTCGGGCAGGATGTGAGTAATAAATAAGCTGTGTGCTGATTGGCTGGTTTACCCTGATGGCTTTGTGACTGCGTGGAGCTAGAAACAGTTCAGTATCCAGATTACTCCATAGGTAAGGCATGGATCCATCTGGCATTCAGCCTGGATATTCCCGCTACACCCTGGAACGTTGCGTACCACCTGCCGACGTGAATCGTGCCTTTCATCGCTTTAAAATCTGAGCTCTGGTCGTTTTTCCTAAATAAGCGAATGTAGAAAATAACCAAGATTTCACCAAACATGCTTTTGTTTTAATTTTAGTGAAGCATCCCTGGTATTCACAAAACAACTGCATCAAGGAGCCAATTTAAATGTTAGTTATACAATAAAATATAGTGGAAATTGTATGATAATGAAATCGACTTTAGCCGGGGGTTAATAACCACATTTTACCACAACCCAATGTTTATTCTGGGACTAATGTAATTATGTTTCAAGAAAAAAAAAGGGCCACAACTTCATAAAAATGACCATTTGTTCTAATAAACTTGTTGTTTGGCAGAAATAGAAAAATGAACAAAGTTTGGAAGGTTTGCCTCCTAAGTCTAATGGTCGGTCTGTAGTTTCCACACGAACCGGTTTCATTTGCTAATGAAACGTCTTCCTCAGGTTCTGATGGGCCGGGTGCCGGACCGGGGAGGCAGACCCTGCGAGATCGAGCCGCCGCCTCCAGAAATGCCCTCCTGGCAAAAGCGTCAAGATGCCCCCCAAGGAGGAGGACACTACAGTGGGGGGCACGGAGGTAGCAGGGGGGGCTACGATAACTACTCCCAAGGTGGCCGTGGAGGCTACGAGAGAGGAGGTGGAGGAGGATACGATGACAGGGGTGGCAGAGGTGGACGAGGTGGGAAAGTGCAGGGAGGTTGGGTAGACGGGGGTGGCAGGGGGGCTTATAACCAGGGTCACTATCAGGATGCAGGAGGTCATCATGGGCGAGGAGGGAGAGGAGGATATGCAGGTGGAGGCAACAACCAGGGAGGCTTCCAGGATCCTGGCTACACTGGAGGAGGTGGAGGTTACCAAAACAGTTATAACCAAGAGGGGGGCTGGCATCAGGAAAGAGGCGGGGGTCGTGGAGGTCGGGGGGGTAGAGGAAGAGGAGGCAGAGGTGGCTGGGGAAGCAGAGGGGGGCAGAGTTTTAATCAAGGAGGGCAGTTTGAACAGTTCTTCCAACATGGAGGACAGCAGTTCAACCAGGCTGGCTTCAACCAGGGCCGAAACTTCACCAGCTGAAGGAGACGTCACAGCAGAGATCACATTCACTCAGTCACAAACTCATGGAACAGGTTGTGTCACCTTCGACAGTCCGCCCAAATGTTGATGAGGAGCTCAGACGTTCATACACTCATTCATTCATCTCTACAGACTGTTAAGGAACCCCAGTTCCACATAAATCACCTTTTGTTTTTTTGCCTGAGTTTTCAAGCCCAACTGCCTTGTTGGAAACGAGTCAATGAGCTGAACTCTGCTGTTCGGACCTCATCGCAACACTTAATCAGCCTTATTAAGAATTGTTCATTAAAGCATAAACTTCCTTATCCCAGCGTTGGTCCACCTGCTGCTCGCTGGATTTGGTGATTACTTGAAACCGGCAAACATTTTCCAGTTCTCATGTTTTCTTAGTGTGTGTGACATATTTAAATTTGCCTTGTTGCTCACGAAGAGCTGTAGCTGTTGGAAGGTTTGCATGGATGAGTGAATAAGCAATAAAAGTCTGTTCTAACGTTGGTGTTTGGTGGTGTGATTATTGCAGCAGGGCAGTTTACCACAAGACAAATCTGGCATGAAGTTTGATATATAAACATTTGCCTAATCAGGGTATCTGCAGGTCCTTAAAAAGTCTTAAATTTGCTTTTCCAAATTTAAGGCCTTAAAAATCCTTAAAAATGACAAATAATCCTTAAATAGTTTCCAAAAGTCTTAAATTACCAAAGACCCAATAAACAAGATTCTTTTATTTCTATAAAATTTTCGTGAATTTCTAGTTAGTGTTCAGCATTTTTTGTGTATGATATTGGCATAAGCGGAACCGTACACATTCGGTTGGTTGTGAAAGGGGGCTATTTTTAGATGAGCACGTTAAGCTAGTGGGAGTTTGCGCCATGGGGAAGTGCAACATTAATGGTAACTGGATGGCTAATCCCACGTTCACGACGCGGTTAGCACCGGTTCCAGGCAATAGCTGCAAATTATAGCTTAAATTTAATTTAAAAAATAGCTTAAATTTGGTCCAAGTGGCCTTAAAAAAGGTCTTAAAAAGTCTAAAATTTGGCTCCCTTAAGCCTGCAGATACCCTGCTAATGATCAGTAAATAAAACACAAGAAAATCATTTTCGAAATTCATTTCAAAATTTAAAACCAATTTCTTATAGTTGTGCGCAGAGATTCCCTTGAAGGGTGTTGGACATATGTATGGTTTTGTGTATCTCAGTTATTGCTACTATAAATGAACAGTTACAGCCAAGTTCAACAAATAAACGTACTTTGAAACTCCGGATGTTTTGAAAAGTATATCTGGGGGCAGCATCGTTCGGGAGCAACGAAAGAGTAAAGGTTTGGCATTTCAAAGCTTAAAATTGATTAATGTGATTTCCAAGACTTTGTCAAAACTCGTAAGAAAACGTTTAAAAATGGTTGAACCAACAGTACCGTAGAAAGACACCTTCACAGCGGAGACAAAACGAATACAACTTGTAAAATCATGTTGTGCCAACCTTTATTTTGAAATCCTTCCTCCGGATTTTTATCCCAACTGTTTCCGGGGCAGTTGCAGCTAGCCTCTCCTCCGTAATTGAGTAGAAAGAAGTCTCCCTTTGATGCAAATTAGTGTTTTCCTTGAAGGTTTAATCACCATTCCGTGATTTTTAAGATAATCTTTAACACCGGGTCATGTACCGCCACGAGCATCCCCTTCGCGGTCCTCCACCGCATTTCGTGCCGGTCTTGAGGCACCCACCCTCTATCAGACACAGTGGGCCATTTTCGGTACCACGTCCAGGACAACAACCCCAAAGACCTGCTGGACAGTTCCCACCGCCGGAAAGCTTTTACCTGCACAACAGGCCACCGAGCGACCGCTACGTGAGTGTAGGTACCCAGAGCCACTAGCTAGCGGGCTAGCCCGTGTGAAGCTAGCAGACGTTAACCGAAGCAAGGCCGCGGTACCGATACGTGCCTTTCTTCATGTGAGGAGGTTGCTTTAGTATTGAGCATACTTTTCTTCACTGCTCTATATTTTAACAAAATTCGATTTTATGGTCCTCAAAGTTAAGTAAATGTAAATCAAACGTTTTGATGGTGCTAACGGATGATTGAGTCTGTTTTTTTACATGAAACTGAGTTTTACATGATAACGTTCACTTTCTTCCAGAAAAGAGTGAGCTTTTATCATACATGTTAATGTATGTGTGAATAGTCGCCAGGAAAACGATGTACTAGAGAGTTTTAGATGCTCTAAGATGTGTTTGAAAATCATTGATTTTGGTCCAGCCATAGAAACCACGGTCAGCACCTGCAAGAACGTGAACAATTACATTATTTTTATAATTTAGGTTTTTTACCGGAAGGCTGTTACAAACACATCTTTTTATCAGTGGTATCCTGATTATCAGGGCAACAACTATGCTCCTCCAGGTACCCTATCCAGCTTGTTTTAGTTGTTTCTCTGCTCCAACACCCCTATAGGATTCAGTTTAAAATTTTGGCCCCCTGGGCGTTCCACTGTCAGACACCTGATTATGTCACTGATCGTCTGACCGTCCACAACCCTGGGTGCTCTTTCAGATCTTCAGGCCAACGGCTGCTGGTATTACTCAAGCTAGTTTTAGGACCAGAGGTGGTGTGGCCTTCAGGCAGCGGCCCCCTCACTGCTGAATGCTCTACCACCAACCCTGCCCTCTTTAACCATTGTAGTCTTTTAAAAAGCAGCTGAAGATACATCTTTTTACTCAGGCTTTTTATTGATTTAAGTTTTGTACAGCTTTTTTTAATGCATTTACTCTTTAAAGGTTCTATTGCTTGTATGGTAGGTTTTAATTGGTTTTTATTTCACGGAAGCTTTCTTTTATGCTTTTATGCCTTATAGGTTTGTATTTATTTAGATTTTATGGTAGTCACTTTCTGGCATTGAACCTCACCAGGCGGCCCTCCTAGCCTGGCCTGCCAGACTCATCCTCTGGTTAGTCTGCACAGAGAATGAGTCGGTAACTCACAGGCAGAGAGGCACATGAGGGGCGGGACAAGGCAGCTCAAAAATAACCAATCAGAAAAAAGATGGAAATGCTGACTGAACCACGTAACGCTGTAGTTTTTTAGCTGTAGTCAACAGTGGCGTCTGGCGACAGCGTAGACATCTTTCTTTAGAAGAAAGGCTTTTAGTGCTTCTGCTTGTTGTTTTAAAGACATTCAAGTCATTTAGAACAGAGGAAAGAGCAACAGCGAATTCCGCTTCAGTCGCCATGTTTATGACAAACTTGGCTTTATGGTGTTTGACGAACGCTACTCAGCGCTGATTGGCTCGGGTAGAATTCTCAGGGGGCGGGGTTATTTGAATAGGAGAGTTCCCAGACCTTTTCTCTGTGCAGAATTAAACAGAGGAGGAGTCTGGCAGGCCAGGCTACTAATCTCCCCCAATTAGGGGACTTTGACTCTTAGCAGTAAAATTCATGTCCCAAATATCAACAATTGTTTACGTTCTCCAAACACAACTAAAACTACAATCAAAATAGTATTTAGATGGAAAACAAAGCTATTTTAAATATTATTAAATGAAGATTCAATGATACTTTAACTTTATTTTAGAGGAAGTCTGTTCATCATCTGCTGATTATAAACAGCAGTGTTTCCCTCAGGCTACGATTCCCCCGGTACACTCTCATGGACCAAACGTTCACACAAGCACACACCACCCCACCACGGCTGGAACATTTTCTAGGGGAAACACTGAAGGTGTGTTGTGTTGGAGTAGAACAACAAGAACATTCTGGATAGTGGACCTTCAGGACTAGGATTGTGATGTGATGCAGGGTTCCCACGCGTCCTGGAAAACCTGGAAAATGATAGTCCAATTTTCCAGTCATGGAAAACACATGGAAAATGGGGTGAATTGCAAAATGTCCTGGAAATTTTTGAGTTGTCCTGGAAAATAATTTTCCCTCCTTGTGGATAAACAAACGGATTAAACATTTTGGGCAATATTGGGCTGTTGCGCTTCTCCTTTCATTTCTGCATCTAGCTGGCACAGTGCCCCACATGACACTTCCAACCAATCAGATTGCATATTCCCCTTCAGTTCCAGTTCCACTTCTGTTTTTCCAACTGTCTTTTTGGCTAGATTTACAGATTTTTCACCCCTAGATTTATTTCTCCAAAGAAGGGCCAAAAGTAGCGACTCGGTTCACGAGTATTGCTTTATCGCAGTTTATAGAGCGAGAAGTTTTTCTCCTCTCTGTTGAGTGACAAAGGAGCAGCGGAGAGCTTTTGTTTTTTTCACTCGTGTTGAGACGAGCGAACATGACGAGAGCTTCGGAATAGCAACGGATAGCAGGTAGTCTACCAGACCCGCGCTCCACTCAGTAATTCATACTTGTTTTATCGTCCGACAGCAGAAACAAAAATATGTGAATGGGTTAGGGTTAAAAATGTCATGAATTCAATTCTATCAAAATACTATGTGCTCAGAGGACAGAGCCTCAGCTGTTCATACTGTTTTTAGCTAGCTACACAGACCACAGCCAGGAGGCAGTGAGAACTGAAGACTGGCATGGTCATTTGAACAAAGTTGTTAACGTAATTAAAGAGCAAGTAACGTCTAAATTAACTTTTTTTTGCTGATGAACTGTATAAATGAGTGTCTAATAGTGTTTTAAATGTGTGCATTCTTTATTTTAGCATTTTGGTGCATTTTCTTTAAAAATTAAAAATTCTGTCTAAAAACCACAGTATAGCGCCACCTTCAGCTGAAAACATAGAATTTGAGTCATTTTGAATAAATTTTAGCCAATGGCTAAAGAGTAAGATACTACTTAAACCAGTAGAGTACTACGTAGCAGCTCCGTGCCAAAGTTATAAAAGCAACGAGCGTCTCGGCCACACCTTGTGGCGAGTGGGAGTTGGATTTGCAAGTGAGCGTAGGAGGTCAGCGGTAGTTCAGCATTAGCATATAGCATTAGCATATCCTAGTCTTTAGCATATCTTTTAGTGTTATAAATACTTTTTAGTGTTAGATTTGGCTGTTGGATATTGTAGTTTAGTTAGTGTTTGGCTGTTAGTGTAATTGGGAAAGTATTTCGGGTTTAGTGTTCCATATCGTCTTAGTATTGGTGAGTAGGTGTAGTGTAGTATGCTTGCGGTGACTCTGTGGGCATTTTACCCGCGATTCTGCACGTCTCCGTTTGAAGAGGGAGGCTGTGCCCACCGTGGCTCTTCCGCAATTTAGATGCAGCCCACCGACTCTGCTCCCCCACCACGGCGGGCTCCAGTCTGAGGTGAGTACGCTAAATAAACGTTTTAACATCTTCTAAAGACAATTCCCTACCTAAATGCAAAGTTTGAGAGATGTGGTTCACTTCCTTTAGCTAGTCAGTCGGCAATTCTGCAACAGTGGCTCTAACTGACGCAGCACTTGACAGACAGCATTACAGCGTGAAATCCAGCTTGTGAACAGGTTCTGTGAGGAATTCTGTTCAGGAGGTCGCATTTCAGGCTCTCCACATCATGTGTGACTGACTTTTACGTTATAATGATCACACACTAGGATTGTTATAAAGCGCCTATATGGGACACTTTCTTTTGTATATTATCTGACTTTATAAACTCTCAACAACAATGTGTGCTTAAATTTTTTTTTCAGGCTAAATCTACCCAAGACACTGGCTGTCAGACTGATTTAGCTGCAAGAATGCACTTGTCCAGGCTGACGTGAAACCTTCCCTGTAGCAAAGGTGAATTATTTTTAATAATCTTCTATGTAAACATTTTATTATTACCTTCTAGTTTTAATTTGTTTTACAGATTATTGTTACACGTGATTTTATGCTCTTTTAAACATTTATAAATGTGCTGCTTCTTTGTTTTTACATAGCCAGCCAGAATGGAGTTCACAGCCGCAGTGTGTCTGGTGACCCATGGGGACCATGATGAAAATTCATCTTCCAGAAGGTCCCAGAGCAGCGTCCACACCCCCTGAAAAGACCAAGATGTAAGGTGTCTGCTGTTGATTCCAGCTTCCACCTCAGTGACGGTGCAAGCTCAGTGAACTGTTCAAGGTAAAAAAAAAATTAAAACATTTCAGAATTTTTAAGATATTAACAATTAAATAAGTATGTGATTACATCATGACGGAGGCTACTGATTCTGGCCCCGTGACACTTGGTGGTGACGTGTGAGCTGATTCACCTGGAAAACAACTTTTACATTAAATATTTTGTTTTTGCTATCAAAAGTAAATTAACTAATAACCTGCATTATTGCAGGACACTCAGCAAAATATGGACTCTACACCATGAGGCAGGCACACGTTAATATTCTATAAGAGCACATAAGGTGAGCAACACCACATATTATTGTACACTGTCCTGAATTTGTTTTCTTTCTGCATCTCATTAGCCTGGCTGATCACCTGATAACTCTGTCATCTGGTTATGACAGCATGAGGATGTCCTCACACACCTGTAACCTATCAGCTCATCTGGCAGAATAGAGAGAGAAGAGACAACACCACATCTCCTGTTCCTGGAAAGCCTTCAGCCATCCTTCGATGACTGAGAACCTCCATCAGCTCTGTCTCCTGTCTGCCCACAATTATTATAATAAATATTGTGTTTGACAAGTTTTTTTGTGCTGCCAAATATCTCATATAGATTCCAGTTTTGATATTTTAATGGATATTTATAAATTACATTAATTGAGTTATCACATTGCATGTTTAACTAGCTCTATTGTGATGAATTAAACTAGCACCTCACTGTTAAAAGCTCGTTTTAATTTCAAGCATGTTTAAGTATTTATGGACATGAACAAAAACAGGAAATATATAAATTGAGATTTATTTAATTAATATAACAAATAAGGAGGAAAGAGTCATTGAAAGGCACATTCTTCTGGAAGCTCCTGATCCTGATGGCACCAGCAGAGGAGACCACCTGCAGACACCAGAGACCAGCTGCAGACACCAGAGGACCTAGAACCAAGAGAGCAGCTGTTATCAGTAAATAAATAAATCAGGGCAGTTTTAGTGAGCTTAACACATTACAGAATAATTTTCTCATGGGGTATTTTCATAACTTTATGCAGCAGACTGTAACTTGAGCCCAGAGCTACCGGAGAGCTGCTATCCAGCACGTTTCAGTGGATTTTCCTGCTTTAACAGGTTAGATTAGCTGTTAAGCAGCTCAGCTATTTGTTGCTGATTAAAACCAGGTGTGCTGAAGCAGATAAACCTCTAAAACATGCTGAATACTAGCTCTCCAGGGCCGTGGAGACAAACCCTGCAGCTAATCCAATGCTATGGCTAACGGCTACTTACGTTCAGAGGTGGTTCTGTTGGGTCGGTTCTGGGAGTTACAGGCAACTCACAAGCTCACAACAATAAGGCTCAGGTCCGCTTGTCTCCTCCAAATAGACTTGGTCCCTTTCTTCTCGAGTGTCTGGGTAAGGAGGGGGAGAAACATCCTCCACTTCTAATAACTGCATAGAGTGAAGGGAGCTAGCATCGTCTAGTTAGCCGTCGTCTTCGTCACTGCCGCGGCTCCGCCCTCTCGGTCCTCCAGGCAACGCCTACTAATGTTGCATTTTTTAAAATTGATACGTGGGTAGAGAAGGACTCCGAGGCTCAATTGACCCGCTCTTTAAATTGAATTCAACACAGCTAAATTAATAACTAGAATGATTTTAAGTGGTAACTATATATTTATCATAGTAATGCTATGTACAGTCCAGACTAAAAAGGTAGCGAACAACTACAAGTACTTATCTCTGAGGTAGAAAAAAAAATTTCAGGTCCAATATGTCTGTGGTGTTAGCGGGAGATATTAGCCTAGTCACCCACCCTGAATCTTGTTTCTGGATGACTGGACTAACCTAAAATGACCAGTACTGGAACAACAAAATGCAGTTTAACATCCATCTATGTGAAATAAGCAGTAAAGTGTAATGTGGTGTGTACAGTAAGTATAATACATAGAATATGAAAGATATAAAAGAGCTAAGGTTTGAAAAGCAGGCCTAATGAATAAACAGTCAATATAAGTATAAGTCAGGAGACCTGGGGATGGACTGTTCAATCTCGGGGGCAGAACTTGCTGAGGTAGTCAAACAACTACACAGCGGCAGAGCCCCAGGGGTGGATGAGATTCGTCCTGGGTATCTCAAGGCTATGGATGTTGTAGGGCTGTTGTGGTTGACACGTCTCTGCAACATTGCGTGGTCATCGGGGCAGTTCCTGTGGAGTGGGCAGACTGGGGTGGTGGTCCCCATCTTTTAGAAGGGTGACCAGAGGGTGTGTTCCAACTATGGGGGATCACACTCCTCAGCCTCCCTGGAAAAGTACTGGAGAGGAGGGTCCTTTCGATAGTTGAATCTCAGATTAAGGAGGAGCAATGTGGTTTTCGTCCTGGCTGTGGAACTGTGGACCAGCTCTGTACCCTTGCAAGGGTGATGGAGGGGGCATGGGAGTTTGCCCGACCAATCCACATGTGTTTTATGGATTTGGAGAAGGCTTATGACCGTGTCCCCAGGGGCACTCTGTGGGGGACGCTCCAGGAGTATGGGGTGGGTGGCTTTCTGTTCCGGACCATTCAGTCCCTTTACCAGAGGAGCGTGAGTTTGGTCCGCATAGGTGTTAGTAAGTCGGACCTGTTCCCGGTGAGGGTTGGACTCCACCAGGGCTGCCCTTTGTCACCGGTTCTGTTCATTACCTTTATGGACAGAATTTCTAGGCGCAGCCGTGGTGTGGAGTGTGTCGAGCTTGATGGCAGGAGAATCTTGTCTTTGCTTTTTGCGGATGATGTGGTCCTCCTAGCTTCATCCAGCTCTGACCTTCAGCTCTTGCTGGGTAGGTTCGCAGCCGAGTGTGAAGCGGCTGGGATGACGATCAGCACCTCCAAATCTGAGACCATGGTTCTCGACCGGAAAAGGGTGGCTTGCCAACTCCGGGTCGGGAGAGAGGTCCTACCTCAAGTGGAGGAGTTTAAGTATCTCAGGGTCTTGTTCACGAGTGAGGGTAGGAGGGATCGGGAGATCGACAGGCGGATTGGTTCGGCGTCTGCAGTGCTGCGGACGTTGAGCCGATCTGTCATGGTGAAGAGGGAGCTGAGCCAGAAAGCCAGGCTCTCGATTTACCGGTCAATCTACGTCCCAATCCTCACCTATGGTCATGAGCTTTGGGTAATGAACGGAAGAACGAGATCGTGGATACAAGTGGCCAAAATGAGTTTCCTCCATAGGGTGGCCGGGCTCAGCCTTAGAGATAAGGTGAGGAGCTTGGACATTTGGGAGGGACTCGGAGTAGAACCGCTGCTCCTCCGGATCGAAAGGAGTCAGTTGAGGTGGTTTGGGCATCTGGTCAGGATGCCTCCTGGACGCCTCCCTGGGGAGGTGTTTCGGGCATGTCCTGCCGGCAGGAGGCCCCCGGGTCGACCCAGGACACGTTGGAGAGGTTACATCTCCAATCTGGTCCGGGAACGCCTTGGGGTCCTGGTGGAGGTGGCCGGGGAGAGGACGGTCTGGAGCTCCCTAGTTGGGATGCTGCCCCCGCGACCCAGACCTGGATAAGCGGAGGAAGACAACGACGATTTCAATCAGCACAGTGAATTAACCTGGTTCAGTTGCTGAGCAGAACAAAAACATGACATGGAGATGACTTGATGATGCCACAATGTCACACCTCTGGTATGAACTAAAGTAGAGAATAACTTCTGTTTTTGTTGTGTTGCATTGTAAGTAGAAGAAAGCAGGTGGGATTGTGAAAGACAAAAATCTTTCCACAACTATACTGTCAAAATAAAGGTGTAGGTAGGTACAATATCATATCTGTTTCTAAATATATTGGGATATCGGCAAACCGTAGTTATGATAACTTGACTTGTACACTGAAAAAGTCTTGAAATTGTCCTGGAAAAGTCCTGGAAAATAATTTCAAGAAAAGAGTGGGAACCCTGTGATGCTTTGTAAGGGATATACCGATGTCAGTCACAACCTTAAAGTAATTGAGCTCATCTTTTATTTTTCCACGTCTCTGTTGGAATCCAGGCGTAGTCGACTAGATCGTGCGCGGCACTCTGTCGAGGATTAACGCATCAGTACAGCAAGTGTCTACGTAAACTCGGCCCATGAAATATCAAAATATGATTTGGTCATGTGGTCGTTTTTTCATTTAGTAATTTTGATTCCGTATTAAATAAAAACATTTTGTTAAGCAACTACTTATTTCGGTCAGCCTCATCGAATATTTGCTGTAGTTCTGCTTCAGTTCCAGCAGTCTGTATTCAGATGTGAATCAGAGTCTGATGACATTTCTGTTCAAGTTCTTCATCGACATGTGTAAGTTTGCTGTATTTTTCTGTTTTGTCTTCAATTAAATAGCCAGAAATGTCTGAACAGTGCTGTTTGTATACTTTAGGCATAGATTTGGATTCATTCAAAGATTAAAGCATTTTCAGATTAGTTTACTCCTGATCAAATTGCTTTTATTTATGTTTTTTTTTATTCAATCAATGTGGAGTAAATAAGTCAATAAAAAATGCCATTGACTCATTTTCTAATGTTTTCCAGGGTAAATGTCAAAGCCCTGGCTGGACCTTGAGAGGAGGGAGAACACAGTTGATTTGGTCTTCTTCCCTTTTGCTTTTGTTAAATAAAACCTTTGAAGAAACGCTTGACAATATTGTAAAGAACCAAGAACATGTTTTACTCTCTTGCTTTTGTCAATTTTGTTTTCACCAAAGGATCAGTTGTTGTTTCAAATCTTCGTCTAAACGAGTTTTAAAAAAGCTTCCAAAATACATTTGTTGGTTTTCTGCTTCTTTAATCCTGACTGTCTTAATGTTGTTGAACGTAAACCTGGTGTAAACCTGGTGCTGTGAGAATACGTTTAAAGACCTGTGTGTTGTCTTTTTTTCATAATGTGTTAAAGATGTACTGTACTCACTCACACACATATACACACACACACAATTTGTCATTTGGGACTACCGTGTTTTCTCAGTTTTTTTTTTCTTCTGGCATGCACAAATAGAAAACGAGTATGAACCCCTCTAGTGTTTGGGTCGATGCAGCAGGTTAAAGAAAGTTTACCATAGGAATTGATGCCGATAGCCTCCGGTGTCCGCAGACACCTGCAGACAAAAGGGAATTTAAATGAGTGATTGAGTATTTGGATTAGATTTAATCCCAGAGGCAACATTTAAGAAATCCACACCGTTTGGATTCAAGGATTCACCAGTTGGACTTCTGTTTTCTGCCAAATGGACCGAGATATATTAGGTGATAAGGAACTTTCATAATCAGTGTCCATTAATGAGCTATTTCCACAAGAACAGAAGCAAACTTTCAGAAAACACAACTGTTGTACTCAAGCTTTTCCAATGTGGAGGTTCAGGTAATTCTCTCAGCTCTGCTCATGTGGAGACTTCATTAACTTGTAAAGAGAAGACCCGGTGGAGAAACGGCCAAGGTCTATACAGAGTGGAGGCTGATGTGCCACTGTGTCAGCCCAGCCCAGGCCTCTGGAAGCACTGGCTACTACCGCAGCAAAATGATGCTGGCTCAGTCAAGAGTGACGCAAAAAACTGCAGCTTTGTTATTTTCATGATCATGTCTGAAATCACAATTTAGATCAGAAAACGACCAATCGTTCAGCTTCACTTCTTATCCAGATCAACAAATTTCTAGGTTTATTTTAAAAGTAAACGTAAGCCTTTACTGGAAATTTCTGATCTGCTTAGCTCATTTGTTAGTTTTTTTTGTTTTTGAGTGATTGAGCAACTGACCACTGAGTTTTATTTAGACTTCATTTTTGCTGTTGATTATTACAGTTCTAACTTGTACAGCTCTATAACATGAACTCTGAACACTCTCAGCCCCACTGTAGCAACTTCTCCATAGACCGTAGTACAGTGATTGCTGTCGGAGGCAGCCAGCAGATTGCCCCTCCTGCAGATTCACCACATCTTCAAGTTCCACTGTGGAACCCCCCACAGATGGGACATCTTGTTTCAGACAACAGGTATGTATATGTGCATAAGTTTTTTTCTAGGGTTTGCTACAGAGGCAAACCCTAGAAGTCATGGTTTCAGTAGTGATACTTTTTTAGTACTATTTAAATTACATGCCTGTTTTCTAGTGATCAAGCTGGCGAGGAGTTCCTGAGATGTATTGCAGCCAACAAACCTCTACCAGATTATCTCAAAGGCAATATGGCATTAAACCTGGCTGATGCACTCAAGTCTGCTGAAACACTGAAAGTTTCAGTCAAGTCGGTGACCAAGAGTAAGAGCCGTAGTCGAAGTCAAAGCCGAACCCGTGGCAGATCTCGAGCCAAGAGCCGAGCAAGGAGTCGAAGCAGAGGAAGGAGCAAAAGTCATGTTCGTGGCAAGAGTCGAGCCAAAAGCCAAACGCGGGCTTGCAGTAGGAGTCGGAGCCGGGGCAAGCAGAGTCACAAACGGAGCAAAAGTCGAGTCAGAAGATCTAGGTCCCGAAGCAGCAGTAGTGAAAAGAGCCATGGCAAAGACAGGAAGAGGAAGAGAAGCCCTGACATCAGCAGCAACAATCTGACTGGAAACCGTCTGTTTGAAGGACTCAAACTAGTCATGAACAGCAAAGATGTGGAAGAGCGGTTGCCCTCTCTCAAAGATGCCATCCTTGGTATTCAGGTAGAGCTCATCACATATTTTACATGTTGTGCATTGTTTAAAGCTGGATTAATAGTATCTGTTGCATCACTAGCATTCTCATTGAGCTAGTACCTCACTGGGGCATAATCAAATGCAAACAACATTTGTGGCAAAGTTTTAGTTGTACACCACTTTTCAAGTTACACAGATTAAATAGATTTCACTCTCATTTAAAACATACTTGCAGAAAATCCAGGAACATGTAACATTTGCATTTTGTCAAGATTTTTTCATGAGTTTAACCATTAGAAACAACCTAATTTTCAGAGTGTAATAGTTGTTAATTCTTTTGACAGGCTTCATGTGGAAAAAAGACAGTGGAGAACGTGTCTGATGAGCCCAAACATCAGCAATATGACAGCATCGACCCTTTCACAACACTGGAGAATGATAGCATCTTGCTTCCACATGAAAGAGTAGTTGGTGACTTCTCTTGGCTTCAAGAAAAAAGCCAGGAGGAAATTTCTGTCCTGAAAGCCAAAGAGTTTGAAGAAGAAGAGTCATTTTTGTATGGGTCTGGGGGTTACCTCCAAACTGAAGAACATGCCAAACATCTTGGTGCACAAGAACCCCTTCAGATGGCATCATCTGCCTTTGCCAATGCCAGTCTGGATAAGTTGGAGTTTGACAAAATCAAGAAAATCCTCGATAGTTTGGGAGGAACATCGGATATTGGCAAGATGGTAATGAATACTCAAATGATAAAGGAAGGCAGTGAAGCCTTTCCTGCTATTTTAAATTCAGACGTAGCAGTGGAGACTCTGAAAAACCCAAGTGTACGGAAATCCCTGGAGTCGTTGCAGTCTCTGATCAGAGGTAAGAACTTCTGTGTTCAACAGGGCTGTTTATTTCTAATGAAGATGAAGACATTAGCCTTTGCTTTTTCATGTTAAAGCTGTACATTCATTATGGTTGGTGTGGAAGGTGCCCTTGTTCTTCATCCGTTAGGACCTGCAGTTTATTTTATTTGTTCTCCTGTGTTCACCATAGCTTGTGCAGCATAATCAAATGTCAACTAGTGTGAACCATTCCAGCCTGCATTGCGTCATAAGTAGGGTGGCCACGTGTTCCCATTGTGTTGGACCATCCTGCATTTCCATAACTTTCCATGTCTCACATATTGAGATATTGTCTCTTAAGATGTGGCCACCAAAAATAAAGGTCATTCACACTTTAATTTCTTTGGTCTACCTTTAGCTTTGATTACAGTACGCATTTTCTGTGGCATTGTTTTGATTAGCTTCTGCAATGTCACAAGATTTGTTTCCATACAGTCTTGCATAAAATTTTCACCAAACTCTTGGATTGATGATGGTAGAGTCTGACCCAGGGGTGCCCAACCCTGGTCCTAGAGGGCAGGTATCCAGCATGTTTTAGTAGTTGAATCACCTGTGCAGCAGCTCATCAGGCTCTGCAGAATCCTGCTAATCACCTGCTCATTAAAATCAGGCATGTTGCAAGAAGGTTAAAACTAAAGTATGCTAGATACCAGCCCTCCAGAACCAGGATTAGGCACTCCTGGTCTGACTGCCTTCTCCATCACATCCCAAAGATGGAGTTATGGTCCTGACTCTGTGGTGATCGATCCACGTGTGAAAATGATGTCTCATGCTCCCTGAACCAGTCTTTCACTATCTGAGCCTGATGAATTCCGGCATCGTCGTCTTGGAATATGGCCGTGCCATCAGGGAAGATGGAATAACCTGGTCATTCAGGATATTCAGGTAGTCAGCTGACCTCATTCTTGGAGCACATCCTGTTGCTGAAACTAGACCTAACCACCAGCAGCAAGCCCAGATCATAGCACAGCCCCCACAGGCTTGTACAATAGTCACTAGGCATGATGGGTGCATCACTTCATCTGCCTCTCTTCTGACCCTGATGCACCGTCACTCTGGACCAGGGTCCATCTGGACTCATCAGACCAGTTTTAATAATGCGTTGGACAGTTCTGAACCCAGTTTCTGCACCTCCTTTGATGTTTTCTCTGCTTGATGCCAATGATCGGACCCTTATCACACACACTAACATCTTTTCCACCACCAGATATGTCTTTCCACACGGCTGTTTGGGAAATGAGAAGCAGCTTATGGCACCAGTTGGGTTAAATAAGTTGTTACAGCTGAAAGATAATCACCCATGCAGTCATTATCCCATAGGAGGCCTAATTACCTGTTTAACTACCTGTTAATAGTTAAAGGGATACTCATGCAGCATTTTTATATTTTTGTTTAAAAAAAATTCTTAAGTATGTGCAAAAATGACACTTTACAGCAGGATTATACAATTCTTTGCCTGGAAGGCCGATATACACCGTATTTTAGTTTTTCTGCTTCTGATGTCAATCAGCAAGTGATTAACAGGCTTCTGCAGAGCCTGATGAGCTGCTGCACAGGAGATTAAATGAAGTGTGTTGGAGCAGAAAAGCCACTGAATCATGCTGGATCCTGGTCCTCCAGGACCAGAATTGAATACACCAGCTTTACAGGGTTAATGAAAGGTCACTCAGACCTCCACTGCCCCATGTGGCCAGAATACCGCATTTGCAACTTCAGACTGGCAAGCCACCACAGGTTGGACTTCAGGCTGGGCAGTGTATTTGTTCTGTGTTAATAGTAATTCAAAAGCTAACGAGAAGCCCAGAAATTTTAGCTTTTATTACTCAGACTCATATTGTCCCTCATTTGGGACAAGAATTGTATAATCCTGCTGTAAAGGGTCATTTTTGCACATACTTGCTAAAAAAATTTTTTTTAATAAAAATATAAAAATGCTGCATGAGTATCCCTTTAACTACTAACAGGTAGTTAAACAGGTAATTGGGCCTCCTATGGGATCTGGTCACCCTATCCATGGGTGTGTTTGTGAGTTTGACCCTAATAAGGAGCAGATTTGTAGGGAACAAAGGTGCAATGTGCACTTGCACATAGAACATGGTCAAGACAAGGTCTTATTAAGCCTAAAAGGCAATCTCAGTACAAATATCAGCAGAGCTGCAGTAAACTAAATGATGAAGACTCATGATGTTTTCAAGATAAGTTTCGGTTTTAGCTTTGTTATTTTATTTTACTTACTGTATATTTTACTACCTCCTTACTTGAGCTGTCTTTGGTGAGCGCAAAGTCAATTTTGTTGTACACCTGTACAATGTCAATAAAACAGTCTTGAATCTTCATATAAAATATCAGCAACAGCTTAAAGGCAGATCATAAAAGTAGGTCTTCAGCCTCAGTTTAAAAACCACTACTGATGAGGAAAGTACGTTACATATTTCTGGACTTGCTGCCGAGAACGCCTCATCCCCTCTGTCTTCAGCCGAGCTCTGGCAGCCAAAGGCAACAGCTGCTTCTCAGAGCGGAGCATTCGAGCAGGGACTTGTGGCTGCGACAACTCCGTCCGGTTAGCTGGAGCCATCCCACAGTGCTTTAAAAACCAATAAGAGTCTGAAAATCTGAAATTGACAGATCGCCTATGTCGAGCAGCCGGAATTGATGTCACGTGTTTTATTTATATATTTTTGCTTGGCCTCCAAGAGTTGCTGCGGCATCTTTAAAATGAAATAATGGTTTTTTGTGAGGATGAAATTGTCAGAAGTATTTAGTGACAGCTTGAGATGTACCAAGCAAACAACTTAAACCATTATTTTTGTTCAGTGAATACTGTTGATCTGATTATTTTTTTTATTTTGGTTTTTACCTTAATAAGCAACAAAGGACAAACGGGCAAGAAGCAACGGACAATCAGAAACCTCCTCTGAAAAACAGAAGGTGCGTGATTTTCCAGTAGTATTTAGTCTTGCAGTAAAAAAATTAAAACACTTTTCTTAAACCCCAACTTGTTTTTCTACCCTGTTTCACAGGCCGGCGACAATGAAAAGAAGAAAAAAGACAAACAAACTAAAATAAAAGAACTGGAATCACTGGCACAAGAATTGGATGTTTTGCTTCGAGAGGATGGTAACCAAGTCTTCTTTTACATTTTAGGGGATGTTTTGATGCTTTCTTTTTTTATGTAAATTATTCCATAAACCTCTAGAGCTGGATGATATGTGTTTTAGCTGAATTTCCAAATAAAATCATTATATTTATTTAGTATCCTGCTTCTACACAACTGGTTTTAATCAGCAGGTGAGTAACAGGCTTCTGCATAGATTGATGAGCTGCTGAAAAGGCAATTCAACCACTCAATCAGGAGTGTTGGAGCAGGGAAACTGCTGAAACATGCAGAGTAGTGGCCCTCAAGGACCAGGATTGCCCATCCTGCTCTAGATGAAGCAGAAACATGTCATCTAGTCTTATACATGTCTGCTGCCCCCTGGTGGTGAGGGTACTTTTTTTCCCCAACATTAGGTTTTTATAGAATTACACAATCAAATAAAACTGATTATAAAGCTAGCTGTTATAGTAACATTAGTTACGGGTTAAGATGGCTGCTGTGGCACAAACACAAACTAGACCAGTTATAGGTAATGAGTTAAACTTAGTGCGGTAGTCTTTAAAGTGAGGGTCAAGCCCTGGGTGGAGACGTATTTCATCCACACTTCCTGTTAGGAAAACGCTTCTGAAGGAGGCGTCTCCTGGTGGATGGAGAGAGCGTCACTGAGGCAGTGGTAGACCGCAAGCCCCCTCAACCCCACCCCCGCACTGTCTGAGTTTCTCAATCTAAAAACAAGTTGTTATCGAGCGTGTGCACGCAAGCACACAAGACTTACCGCTCAGGAGAAAAGCAGACACAGATTCTGCAGCATTCTGGAGGATTTCCTGTTAACAGCGAACATTAGATGAAAAGGGGAGGAGGGCGTTTTTTTTTCAAGGAGGCGAGCGGCTCAGAGGCTAATGTGCCATATCGGCAGGTGAGTGGCTGAGCCAGGTGAAGGTGCGGCTGCCTCACCTGGAGACCAGTGCAGTGCAGCCACGTAGTCATTTGTTGATAACGTTTTCCAGCTTAGCCATCAGCTGATTCTACATGTATGTGGGGCAAAAAAGTATTTAGTCAGCCACCGATTGTGCAAGTACTCCCACTTAAAATGATGACAGAGGTCAGTAATTTTCATCATAGGTACACTTCAACTGTGAGAGACAGAATGTGAAAAAAAATCCATGAATTCACATGGCAGGATTTTTAAAGAATTTATTTGTAAATCAGGGTGGAAAATAAGTATTTGGTCAATAACAAAAATTCATCTCAATACTTTGTAACATAACCTTTGTTGGCAATAACAGAGGTCAAACGATTACTATAGGTCTTTACCAGGTTTGCACACACAGTAGCTGGTATTTTGGCCCATTCCTCCATGCAGATCTTCTCGAGAGCAGTGATGTTTTGGGGCTGTCGCCGAGCAACACGGACTTTCAACTCCCTCCACAGATTTTCTATGGGGTTGAGGTCTGGAGACTGGTTAGGCCACTCCAGGACTTTCAAATGCTTCTTACGGAGCCACTCCTTTGTTGCCCGGACGGTGTGTTTGGGATCATTGTTGTTGGAAGACCCAGCCACGTTTCATCTTCAAAGCTCTCACTGATGGAAGGAGGTTTTGGCTCAGAATCTCAAGATACATAGCCCCATTCATTCTGTCCTTAACACGGATCAGTCATCCTGTCCCCTTAGCAGACAAACAGCCCCAAAGCATGATGTTCCCACCCCCATGCTTCACAGTAGGTATGGTGTTCTTGGGATGCAACTCAGTATTCTTCTTCCTCCAAACTAGTGTTGTCAAAAAAATCGATACCTAGATATAAATCGATACTAAAAGTGGTATCTAAATTAAATATTCCATCCCTGTGGTATTGATATTATGGACTATTATACACAGCCTTCTTCAAGTACACCGACACGCACGACAGCCAGATGCCGTAAAGCAACCTCCACCTCCCAGACAAACAGAAGAAGAAGACGCCGCATGGCTACATTGCAATTTCCCACGCGAGCTGTCTCCGATCCAAGTTTTGTCTGCCAAATAAATAAACAAAAACATAAACAGCGAATTTGGGAGGCGCTTCACAGCCCAACTTAATTAGCATACCAAGTCCGACATGTAGTTGTATATTCACGCTTATGTGCTTAAAGGAAACTCCCGTTTATTGCAACCCGGACTTAATTTCTAGCATGCGGTACGTTTGTTTACTCACGCTGACAACTTTGGTGCTACTTGGATTCCCCGGGGTATTTAGATCCATCGGCGAATCGCTGTCAGTGTATATCCATATAACGGGTGCGGACGGGCACCCATGGTGCAGCCTCGAAATAAGACATTATCTGCACCAAAACATCTTCATGTCAAAAGGTTTTGTTAGGAATCATTAACTTGATTCCCCCTGTTCGTTTGGAGCGAGTCTGGGATTTCTAGGCGTAAAGAGACTAGCTGCGGCTAATTAACCGGCGCTTTTAATGACGTCACTGCCGTGCGCCAATCTGTTTTTATTAAGATTACCGGTAGATGTACCTTTGTCCTACTGTGGAGAAATTCGTTTTCTCCCTTTATTGACCAACAGAGTTGTTCAAAAGTACAGAACAAAACATATGGCATTACATCTTATGACAAAAATGCACCTTAAACAAGAGTTTAAGCAGCAAAACATCACTCTGCAAAAGTGTAAATATAGTGAGACAATTCATGATTTAAAGTGTTAACTTTCGCCAGTTTTTGTATGCACGTTTTAAAAAATGCTGATACTTGAAAGGTTTAAGCACTTTATACACTTAATTCTTAACATTTAATTTTTGCAATATAAATTGAGGAATGTTATTTTTTGAATAAACTTGTTCAATAAATTGGTGTTTTTAAATAGTATCGAAATCGAGCATAGAGTTTGTTTTTTCAAGTATCGAATCGAGTTTGAAATTTTAGTATCGTGACAACCCTACTCCAAACACGACGAGTTGAGTTTATACCAAAAAGTTCTACTTTAGTTTCATCTGACCACATGACATTCTCCCAATCCTCTTCTGTATCATCCATGTGCTCTCTGGCAAACTTCAGACGGGCCTGGACATGCACTAGCTTCAGCAGCGGAACACGTCTGGCACTGCAGGATTTGATTCCCAGCCGTTGTAGTGATGGTGACCTTTGTTACTGTGGTCCCAGCTCTCTGCAGGTCATTCACCAGGTCCCCCCGTGTGGTTCTGGGATTCTTGCTCACCGTTCTCATGATCATTTTGACCCCACGGGATGAGATCTTGCGTGGAGCCCCAGATCGAGGGAGATTATCAGTGGTCTTGTATGTCTTCCATTGTCTGATAATTGCTCCCACAGTTGATTTTTTCACACCAAGCTGCTTGCCTATTGTAGATTCACTCTTCCCAGTCTGGTGCAGGTCTACAATTCTTTTCCTGGTGTCCTTCGAAAGCTCTTTGGTCTTGGCCATAGTGGAGTTTGGTGTCTGACTGTTTGAGGCTGTGGACAGGTGTCTTTTATACAGATAATGAGTTCAAACAGGTGCCATTAATACAGGTAACGATTGGAGGACAGAAAAGCTTCTTAAAGAAGACGTTACAGGTCTGTGAGAGCCAGAGATTTTCCTTGTTTGAAGTGACCAAATACTTATTTTCCACCCTGATTTACAATTAAATTCTTTAAAAATCCTGCCATGTGAATTCATGGATTTTTTTTCTTATTCTGTCTCTCACAGTTGAAGTGTACCTATATTGTAAATTACTGACCTCTGTCATCATTTTAAGTGGGAGAACTTGCACAATCGGTGGCTGACTAAATACTTTTTTGCCCCACTGTATGTGGAGCAGAGTTTAAACCTGAAGATGGAGATATAAATACGGTTTTGGGCTTAAATATTACATTTAAAGTAAGTTGCACTAAACTGCCACACTAATGATTACATGTGTACAGCACCATTAGACACTCATCTGTACAGGTTATCAGCAAAAACAAGTTAATTTAGGCGTTACTAGCTCTTTAAGAGTCATCCACAACACGTACGTTTGAGTTGGGATGTCATCAGATGTCGTATCATGCCAGTGTTTCATGAACTGGCTGTTTTTTCAATCTATGATGACTAGGTCAAATTCCTTCAAGGAATTCCTGGCCTTTGGTTTCCTCCTGTCTCTCTGAAACTTCTCTGGGTTTCTCTCTTCAGGAATAGGCTTCATGTCTCCAGTGATCGGGTTTTACTGCCAGAAGTGTGAAGAGTTCATCGGAGATTTGAAGTCTGTTGAGACTCACGCGGCTGTCCACATTCATAGTACCTCCAGCTGCGTGAGTAGTTGTTCTGGGTTTTTCTTAATGACCAAACTGGTCTCACTCAGTCTGTCGGTGTGTATCAGCCATGTTGAGTGGTCTGTCCTGGTTCTGACTGTAGTGGTTATTTGGGGCGACTGTGGGAAGAGCAGTTATCTGACAGTCACAAGGCTGGTGGTTCGAACCCCACTTCCCCACCACATATCAAGACCGTCATTTGCCAAAGCAAAATCTAAATCAAAGTGTGGTCAAAGAAAACAAAGAATAAGATCAACTTCCGCTTTGAAATAAAAAAACACTTCCGCTTCCGGCATGAATGGGAGCTCCCGTGGACTTCGATCCGCCATTTTGCTGCATCTAGGTGCCTCTCGATTTCTTTGGCACAGGCACAATGATGGAGGACTTAAGGCAGACAGGGACAGTAGAGAGCTGCAGGGATAGATTAAAAATATCCATAAAGGCCCCTGGCAGCTGGTCAGCACATGACCTCAGAGTCCTCCCTGACATCATGTCTGGTCCTGTGGCTTTATTGATTTTAATCCTCTTCAGGGAAGAAGTTAACAGATTGAGCTGCAGGATCGGGGGCTGATGCTGTTCCTCTAGTTTGATGGGAGCAGCAGTTACTCTGCCACTAGTAGTGTCAAATCTGGAGAAGAATCTGTTCAAGGTGTCGGGAAGAGCAGGATCCTCGCTGACCCACTGGCTGGTGCTCCTGTAGTCTGCCATGGTCCTCCATCCTCTCCACATATTCTGTTGGCCGTTGTTCTTAAAGTGCTCCTCAATGTGTAGCCTGTACCTAGATTTTGCCAGCCGTATACCTTTTTTCAGGTCTCTTTGGGTGGTGCTGTATGCAGCATCTCAGGCTTTGAGTAGGGAGCGCACAGAGCCTGTTGGAGAGCTCAAAGTGCAAAATGGCGTTGTGTGTCTTTGTATCGATGCAGATGGAGAAGTATAAATTAAGCTTAAGAGAGAGCCCAAAAACCCTTCAAAGAAAATATTTTGGAGGCTTGTATCCGTGATCTCATTCTTTCGGTCACTACTCAAAGTTTGTGACAGTAGATGAGGGTAGCAACGTAGATTGACTGGTCAATCAAGAGCTTCACCTTTTAGCTCAGCTTTCTCATCACCACAACAGCCCCGTACGACACCCACATTACTGGAGATGCAGCACCAATCTGCCTTTTGATCTCCTGCTCCATCTTCCACTCACTTAGAGCAGGACCTTGTCCCTGACCTGGAGAAGGCATTCAACCCTTTTTTGACTCAAGACTCTTTGAGTCTTGCTCTGACCATGGTGTCAGATTAGAGGAGCTGATTCTCATCCCAGCCACTTCACATTCAGCTGCAAAAGCTGGAGATCAAGGCCTATTGAAGCCAACAGGACCACATCATCTGCAAAAAGCAGAGACCTGATCCTTAGGCTACCAAAACGGATCCCCTCAACACCTCAACTGTGCCTAGAAATCCAGTCCATGGAACTTATGAACAGCCTTGGCTTGCTGCACATTAATTCCAAATAGTTTGACTCACGAATAAAAAGAAACCAGACACCAAACAAACTGGTTATTAAATAATAATAATAATATATTTTCTTTTAAAAGGGCCTTTCATGACACCCAAGGACACTTTACAACAATGGAGGGAAAGGATAAAACAAGATAAGCACAGTACAGAAATATGTGAAAACACTAAGATGTTAAAATTTAAAACATTGTAGTTAAAACTGGGTGGTTAAAGGTGGTTTGAAGAGGTGGGTTTTCAGTTTTGAGTTAAAAAGTGGGAGAGTGTGAGTGGTGCGAAGGTCTGGGGGAAGAGAATTCAAGGGGTGGGGAGCAGAGCGGGTAATGTTGTTTAGGTGAGACTGAAAAGAAAGTGTGCTGTCGAGGATGACATCCAGACCCTTAACATGAGGGGAGGGAGTACCTGCTGTTAACCACTAGAGATGGGGCAACTGTTTAATTTGGAGACAATATGAAGTGTGCCTACCAGGAGGACTTAGGTTTTAGAACTGTTAAGTTTGAGGAAGTTGCAAGTGAACCAAAATGCCCTATAGGTTAAAAAAATAAAAATTGTAAGTCGCTTTGGGAAAAGCGTCTGCTAAGCACATAAACAACAATAATGGATTTCTTAGAGACCGAGAGGAAGGGAGGAAGGTGGAAGTGAGACTGAGGATTTGGTTGAGAGGTAGAACTGGATGTCAAACGCATAACAATGAAAATTAATGTTGTGTTTCCGAAAAATGTAACCTAGCGTGAGAAGATAACTGATGAAAAGAAGGGTCCTCAGGACAGAGCCTTGGGGCACACCAGAAGAAACAGGAAAGACATTGGTGATACCTATAGATGACGGTCTGCTGAGGAGAGTGCTATGAAAGATGGTGTCAAATGCTGCTGTGAGATCGAGAAGGATGAGAATGGACAATAAACCAGAGTCAGAGGCAGTGAGAAGGTTGTTGGTGGTTTAAGAACTAAACTAATTACATTGATTTAAAAAAACAACAAACAAACCCATTTTTGGCTGCTTTCATGCATTTTCCTGCTACAGCTGAGTTTTACTTTGAAAATCCTGTAAAGCATCAATGGAAACAAATGGTGATATCAGGCCCTGCTCCTGTCCCGTAAGCTACTCTTTGATCTGAAACCTGCCTCCCCCGGCCAGTATAGGATATGTTTGTTAGGCGACTTTTGCTTTGTAACACACTCGATAGTCCAGAGGTTAGAGTGCCCGACTGGCATGTAGCTTTGCACAGGTTTGCATCTCAAAGTCAAAGTCGGTTTTATTGAGATTCTACCACATGTGCAAGACATACAGAGAAATGAAACTGGGTTTCAGTACACACAATTCAGAGATCAGACATACATGGGCAAGACACATGACAAGAATTGGTGACTGCGGTCCTTCGCAACATGAGTCGCGCTACCTATCTCGGTCTGGGCAGTAACATTTTTCTTCTTTATTAGCTACACTTGCCAATATGATGTTTTCAACCTTTACTGGTAAATAGTTTTAAGAGGGGATTAATCTGTTTTCTTTACTTTTTTTGTTTATTTAGCCAGTGTGAGTCCATTTGAGGTGAGCAGAGTAAATCAACTAAGTGCTGCCTGGAAACGACAAAATTAAAAGATCTTTAGACTAACAAATTGTTTTGCAGAAAATAATCAATGAAACTGCTGCATAGTTACTGCTGACACCTCCTGCAGTTGGAACAGGCACCAGCAGTAGCAAAACGAAATAAAAGGCAGTCACTTTAACCACTGGACCATCAAAGCAAGTACAACAGAAGGCTGGCCTAAGACGCTGTTGTAGGTGCCTTTTGTTGGAGTGGGCATGAGTAGAGCTTCACTGTAACTAACCGTGTCGTTTCCAGTCATGAATTGAGGCTGATGAAAATAACTATTTAAGATGAATGATCGTATCGTATACTCTGCCAACCTTTGCTCTGATAGGTTTAAAATAGCACGACATGCAAACTTTAATTATTTTTCTCTTGATTTTAGCTAAAAGAGAAGCAGGACAAACATGGTAAAGACATCAAAGGACACTCGCACCATCACAGCAGCCATAGTCAACATCCTCACTCTGAGAAGAGAGGCCACAGGAGTGGCCGAGACCACCAGGAGAAAGGGCACAAAAGCACTCGACTGGGAAACCTCTGCCTGAAAGAAGAAATGAAAAAAGAACGGATGCTGATAACTGTCAACCGTGGACTGACACCTCCGGCTCAGCCCACCATAACCAAGGAGAACAAGGAGATGGGCATCCCAGGACACGCAAAAGTCAAAGAAGAAAAGGAGAAATCGTTAAAAACCAGCAGAGGCAAACACAGCAGCGAGAGCAGCGAGGACGACAGATCGTCCAAAGCTAAACATGCTAAAAAGAAGAAGAAGGAAAAGAAGAAAAAGAAAAAGAGCGACGGGTCTTAATTGTTTTCGTTTTCCTTTGAGATTGTTGCCATAAAATCTTCATTTCTTAGTCTAATTTTGTTTTTTACCATGCTTCAGAAAACTGCATGTGTTGTTGATAGATTTTAGTTTTTGATGCTGTGAAGAGTTTAGGAAGATGAACTTGCAACAGTCATCCAGATGTTTGGTAGGAAATTTACCTGAATGAATGTTTGAATGCAGATACCACAGAGGGGTCATAAACGAGGTGAGGACCCGTGAAGCTGTTCTTACCCTGATGCATCATGGCAGCGTTCAGTTTCATGATCGTTATTCGTTTAAAAGTTCACATCTGTATTTAATAAGTCTGCAAGTTCATTTTCAACAAATGTTTTCCTTCATTTAGACCTAGAGAAGTTCTGTTGTCTGACATGTTTCAGTTTTTATTTCCTCTTTCCTCCTTTCCAATAAACATAAAAATGAAAAGGCTGAGATTTTTTTTATTTCTTGTCGGCATTAATTAGTAACAGTTTTATATTTACTGAACCAGCAGTTGTAATAAGTTAGCAGCTGCTTGACCAAACCTGGCCGCCCTCAGCCCCGGTTCACACGGCGGGATAATCAGATCCATTTCTGACCCCGATTTTTGCTCTCGACAGTCTTATGGATGCGCAGGATTACCATAATGGCTCTAAAGGTCATGTTCCTGCGTGTGTGTTGGGAGCGCTCTGGTGAGCTCAGGACCACTATGATCATAAACTGGGGACATTAATGATGGGAAATGTCTTGGTCCAACACAAAGGACAAAGAGGTATGCTTCCTGTTGAATGCGTTGCTAATCAGAAAGTGAGGCGGTGGAAACGTGCCGGACGTACAGTAATCCTTATTGTGTGTGGAGTAAGGTGTAAAAATAAAAGGAAACGTGTGTTGCCACAAATACCTGCGGAGCCGGGTAGGCACTATGTGAGTGGTTCTGGTTCTTTTGGGTTGCAGTGCTGCTTTAACAGTGCAATTCCCTCACGAGGGAGGAGCAAAATATCAAAGACATTTGATATTTGTGCACCTGTACAATTGCTGATCAGGGGCTAGTCATGAGAGGTTAATGGCCTCCTATAAGCCCCTGTACACCACAAGAGGCACAACACTAAATTCGCCCCAGTCTCTAAGATTCGCACGAGAGGGAAGTTGGTTTAAAAAAGTGAAAAAGTTGCACAGTGTCCACCTGGCTTAAGGTGCACGTCCTAATGGAATCCACAGGCCTACAGATGATGTGTTTTTAAAGAGAAGTTGACATTCTTGAAGGACTTGCAGGTAAACCAGGGTAGATTCTTGTAACCTGACTTTGTTTTGAATCTTTTTGCTATAAAACTTGAATTATTTCACTTTACAGACTTTGTGAAGTAAAAGTTCTTTGTTCTGTTTGCCATAAATTGAGTTCTGAACATTATTAGACTTCAGTAGCTGGAATAAAAATGGAAAATGCACATTTAGAAAAATTCCAATAAAACAAATTAAATAAAAAAGTGAATTATTTGTATTTATGTTCTAATTCCATGCTTTCGTTCTTTTTTAAACACAGAAACAGTTTTGATTACCTGTTTTGTAGCTACAGTTTCGCCGACGGCTGCCGGCTTCTTCAGGCTGACGCTGATGGTGGCGCGTCACTTCCTTCTCCGTTTATCTGCGGGCAGAAGAGGACGTTGTCGCCCTCTACTGCCCGCTCTCCCCTCTCCGACGATGCAGTCCCATGCGTGGTCCAGCGTGTAAACTCCTTCGTCCCTGTTCATGGTCCCACATCCACGTCTCCTTATCTCGATTGCTTCCTTGATCCATCTTTTGTATTTTTGTTGTTCAGTGGTTATGATCCGTGTGTTGTCCCAGTCCCACGGCGAATATAACACCAAGAATCTATGGAACGCCAAAAATACATAAACAAAACACCCCACTTATGGGCCATTCCCATCTGTACCGGGTCGGCCCGGGCCGGGTAGCGTAGGTTGTTTACATATCTGGGTGGCCTGGTATTTTTCCGGGCCAACCGAGGCTCATTCTCAGCCCTCTTCTCGAGGGGGTCTGCTTCAGGCCGACCAGGGCCAACACACCCACTGCTGACAGCAAACTCACACCTTCCATTAAAGCAAGCCTCTGATTGGTGGGTGGAATCAGCCCACATGGGCTTAAGACAAGGATGTGTGGAATCAACCGGGCCAGGCTGGGGCCGACTGGGGCTACCCGGCCCGGGCCGACCCGGTACAGATGGCAGGGTGTCCGCGGGGTTTTAAAAAGTATTAAAAAGTGATAAATAAAAATAGTCAGGGTGTCCGCGGGGTTTTAAAAAGTATTAAAAAGTGATAAATAAAAATAGTCAAATTTAAGGCCATTGAAAGTGTTAAATTTGGTCTCAGAGGTATTATTTTTTCCAAGTTAGGTATTATTTTTTTCAGACTATCAGATGTCGTATTCTGAACATCGACATAGAAATATATTCCGAATGAAATGTTTTGAACGATTATAAAAATAAAACAAGCCGATTATTTGCTCCTCCCACTTGAGCTGCCCTGAGTTACAAATGAAGCGCTCCGTTGCCAACTTAGCGACTTTGACGCTATTTCTAGCAGCTTTTCAGACCCCCTTCTTGACTTTTTAAATCTTAAAAGTACCTAGCGAACACCTCAGAAACATCTCTGGTAACCCTTAGCTACTTTCTGGATAACTGTCGTCGACATTTCCTGCAGGTTAGCTAAACACTCCGCCTGCGCTCCGGACCGTTCTTCAGGACATTAGGAAAGGGAATGATGTAGTGATGTGTCGGTCGCTAAAGAAAAAGCTCTCGGAGCCGGCTCCCTGTTGGGGTAACCAGAGTGAGTGACACACACCGTACCTGCGGGCTCCTGAGCGGCTAAAAACGGCTAAATGTGCGTGTGCGGCGTGCTAAACACACGTGCAGCTTGCCCCTGATTGCTGTGAGACCGGGTTGGGGGGTGGGGGGTGCAGCTGTGGTTGGGACAATTATTACATTAACTGATGGACTTGTAAATAAATAGTTTATAAATAAGGTAGAAATAAGTTCCTCACGTTGATAAATAATGACTAATCTCTCTGAGGACACGGTGCTAGTGCACGCTCCTACAGCACCTTGACACGACTCAATAAATGTTATGCAACATTTTGTGAACATCAATTTATTTGCATTTATTTGTTATAAATGCCACTGTATAATTCTTGCTGTCAGTATTTGCAAGATATTGGTATTTGGGTCTGTACTGGTTAGACTTAAATGAGTTAAACCAAGGTCTATAGCCCTTGGGTCATAAACTATGAGCTATAAGTATATTGGTCTTTTTATACTGGGAATCAGGAGTTATTTTAGTGATCATCTTGTTTCTTGTTTAATTTTTGCCCTGATTGTGCCCTGAGCAGTTTTATGACTGAATAAAAATAAAAAAATAAAAATCTAGATAAATTGAAAAATCATCTTAAATAATCGAGATCTCAATTTCAGTCACAATAATCGTGATTATTGTTTTTGCCATAATCGAGCAGCCCTACTTTAGCATATCCGGTCACATAATGATGACGTCATATTCAGTGGTCGTTGTGCATCATTTCAGGCCTCGTGGTCAACTGAACCGCTGAACAGAAGTGCCTGGCTTATTTTCTAAGTAAAATAAATATGTGCAATATGTTGTCAACATCAGTGAGTCTCTAAGTCTATTCTTTTTGTATGTTATATATGTTAAAATATGTGTAAATAGGTCGCTGATTAACACTTGCAATTTAGTGTTGTGATGGTTTTAAAAAAATTCTGAAGGTAGTAAAAAAAAGTAATAAAAAGTAGTAAATTTTACTTAAGGATTGCTGTATATACCCTGATAGTCAAATTTAAGGCCATTAAAAGTGTTAAATTTGGTCTCAGAGGTATTATTTTTTCCAAATTAGGTATTATTTTTTTCAGACTATCAGATGTCGTATTCTGAACATCGACATAGAAATATATTCCGAATGAAATGTTTTGAACGATTATAAAAACAAAACAAGCCGATTATTTGCTCCTCCCACTTGCGCTGCCCTGAGTTGCAAATGAAGCGCTCCTCCACAGTGTTGCCAACTTGACGACTTTGACGCTATTTCTAACAGCTTTTCAGACCCCCTTCTTGACTTTTTAAATCTTAAAAGTACCTAGCGAACACCTCAGAAACATCTCTGGTAACCCTTAGCTACTTTCTGGATAACTGTCGTTGACATTTCCTGCAGGTTAGCTAAACACTCCGCCTGCACTCCGGACCGTTCTTCAGGACATTAGGAAAGGGAATGATGTAGTGATGTGTCAGTCTCTAAAGAAACAGCTCTCAGAGCCGGCTCCCTGTTGGAGTAACCAGAGTGAGTGACACACACACCGCACCTGCGGACTCCTGAGCCGCTAAAAACGGCTAAATGTGCGCGTGCGGCGCGCTAAACACACGTGCAGCTTGCCCCTGATTGCTGCGAGACCGGGTTGGGGGTGGGGGTGCAGCTGTGGTTGGGACAATTATTACATTAACTGATGGACTTGTAAATAAATAGTTTATAAATAAGGTAGAAATAAGTTCCTCACGCTGATAAATAATAACTAATCTCTCTGAGGACACGGTGCTAGTGCACTCTCCTACAGCACCTTGACATGACTCAATAAATGCTATGCAACATTTAGTGAACAGCAATTTGCATGTATTTGTTATAAATGCAACTGTATAATTCTTGCTGTCAGTATTTGCAAGATATTGGTATTTGGGTCTGTACTGGTTAGACTTAAATGAGTTAAACCAAGGTCTGGCCTTGGGTCATAAACTAGGAGCTATAAGTATATTGGTCTTTTTATACTGGGAATCAGGAGTTATTTTAGTGATCATCTTGTTTCTTGTTTATTTTTGCCCTGATTGTGCCCTGAGCAGTTTTATGACTGAATAAAAATAAAAAAATAAAAATCTACATGAATTGAAAAATCGTCTTAGATAATCGAGATCTCAGTTTCAGTCACAATAATCGTGATTATTGTTTTTGCCATAATCGAGCAGCCCTACTTTAGCATATCCGGTCACATAATTATGACGTCATATTCAGTGGTCGTTCTGCATCATTTCAGGCCCCGTAGTCAACTGTCTGAACCGCTGAACAGAAGTGCCTGGCTTATTTTCTAAGTAAAATAAATATGTGCAATACGTTGTCAACATCAGTGAGTCTCTAAGTCTATTCTTTTTGTATGTTATATATGTTAAAATATGTGTAAATAGGTCGCTGATTAACACTTGCAATTTAGTGTTGTGATGGTTTTAAAAAAAATTCTGAAGGTAGTAAAAAAGTATTAAAAAGTAGTAAATTTTACTTAAGGATTGCTGTATATACCCTGAGATGGGAATGGCCCAATAGACCAATAGTTGACAGCATAGGTACACCAACGTACAACATGGCAAAAGATATCAGCAGAATCATCAGCCCGTTATTAGGAAATA